TCGAAAATTTTTTATAAATTTAATTTAATAATATTTATACAAAGATAAAACGTTAAAAAAATTAGTATATAAATAAAAATAAAAAATAATTGAATCTTGAAAATAATATGAAAAAAATATGAAAAATTTTCGAAAAAACAATGTTTTACTTATTTTTAAATTTATTTAAATTAAAATAATTGATAACAATATTTTTTGAATTAATTAAAAAGTATTATCGAACTGAAATATTATTTTAATATTTTTTATATTATTAATTAAAAATAATAATATTTTCGTTTAATAACATTTAATTTAGAAAGTAATTTAAAATAAATGATAAATTACCTTTCAGTTCACTTGCTAAAATAATTTTAAAAATTTTTTTTTATCAATTGCCCAATTTTTTATATTTTTTTATAGCACATATTATAGCTGAAAGCAATTTTAGAATATAAAAAGGTCTTTTTTATTTATTTTTATCTTTATTAATAATATTGGGAATTATTTTGTAAAAATATTTATTGATTTAATTTTTATGTTATGTTAATAATGAAAATAGTTTTTTTCATATTTATTAATTTATTTAAATAGTTTTTTTTTTCTTATAAATTTAAAGGTACACTTTTAGAGCAAGAAATGAATTTAGCATAAAAATTCAGTCAGTCTAATACCGTTAAATCTCATCGAATTGCTTCAATTCATATATTTAGTCCCCTGAATTTTTACAGTTTAAAAAGCTTTTGTACGCTATAAGCTCTGTATGATTGGTCTACGCCTTGTCTTCCACCGCAATCGATCCATTAACTTTATCCACTAATTTGAGTCCATATTTTTGGGACTACGTGTAATAAAACGCTTCCAAGACACCATATGCAACCTGCATCATAATCCTGACGCTTTTGTAAGATCTAATGAGGTTCTTTTGAAAAAAAAAATATATGTTTATAGAATACCCTTTGGCAACAGAGATTTATTTAGTACAAAAGAAGAAGCACATGATGATCCGATGCTTTTTGCCTGAAAGCTCAGAGAGAGAGGGAGAGTATTTGTCACCTTGACTCTGTGCCTTCGCAGCGGATATCTGAGCATTAGTTGGCTAGATAGTTAAGTTTTTCTAACTAGAAGGCAATTCTATGTTGCGGCAGGGAACGTCAAGCCATCCGAGTGTATTTCCTTAAGATAAAATACATTAATTATGTAGCTCTTCATTTAAAAATCCATCAGCTATTGGGAAGTAGGTAGAAATTTGAGGAAGAACTGGTGGAGATAACCTTTACGGGAAGTCACTTGATCTATTAAACACAAAAGGTACAAGATTTCTGGCAAAACAAATAATGAATTTTTGATGTTTGATTTCAACGGAAGAATAGTCGATAACCAGAGTTGACTAGAGACTGTTTGATGATAACAGTACATCGATAATGAATGCGAAACAGACCTTTGATATGGGTGAAGAAGCAAGTGAGGATCCAAGGCACGAGTATAAAAATACCCTTGGCTTACTTAAGAAATACGACAAACTTCCCGACAACTTACTTGACTCACAGAGGTACTTGGAGCCACCTTCTGCAATGTGAAATGAGCAGAAAATCTCTTGAAAATCAACACAGAACAGAATCCAACATGTGATTTTTGATTTTCCTGTGGTCACCACACCTTTGAGTACGTACTACCAACACAACTGGAGCCATTCGTGAGAATTTGTAGTATAAAAAATAATAAATATTATTTTTTTATTCTCTTTATCTTCGAGCTAATTTATGCCACCAACAGCGTATACTTGATTGGCAAATCTTAAACACTGCTCCACTTAAACATGTTGCCAACGAAGAACACAACAAATTTAATAGCTTTATTGCTTGCAGTTTTGTCATTTGCTTGACTCGTCTCTATATAAATATAAAATATATAATTTGTTTTTTTTTTGTTTTTTGTATTTATGCTCTGCCATACATCAGCATATCGGCTGCGCCCTTTTATGAGCACAAAAGTTTACTTAGATTCTCAGGCCACTACGTCGTTGGATCGGGCGCTAGCATTCTGTGTTTCTCTACGCCATTTGCGTTTAGTTTCCGACTGTTGCCATACAAAAATTCACCATTTATGGCGGCGCTGCACCTGCACCAGCTGTACAACATGGAAGTTGTCTCGTGAGGAGTATTTTATTTATTTATTTTCATCTTTTTTTCTTGTTTTGTTTATTTGTTACAAATACTATTTGTAGTTGTTTTATGTACGATGTATTTGTTCGTTGTTCGTTCACAGGAAGGCGTTGAATGTCAAATGTGATGTTATCACACGTTTTTTTCGACGCCTCCCCCATCCCCGAGAAACCTTTTCGTGCCCAATATTTATGAGATACTCAATACGAATTTATTTATTGTAAACTTTTTTTTTCATGTAGTAAGACATTTTATTTTTTTTTTTATAAAAAATAAATCCACTGCATAGGTTTTGTGGCGTATTTATTGTTCGGTTATTTGCCAAAAATTAAATGTGATTGCAAAAAATTTGTGATTTATTTAACCTTTATTGGTGTGGCAGTCGAACAATAAGTAAACGTTTTGAAAAGGGAATTTGCATAAATTTTATTTTTTTTATTTTACTTTTTAAGCATTCGCTATATACATATGTATTTCGAATTTTTCAAGTTTTCTTGGAATTTCATATTTATGATGTGTATATATATATTTATGCTAACAATTTTAATACAATTATATACATTAAAGTATTTTTTCTTTAGTAATTTTTTAATTAAAATTTTAAATAATTAAATGTGAAATTTCAACTTATTATAAATTTGTGTTACTATTATTTTTTCTCCAATTTGATTTTTATCAGGTTAATTTTTAATTTTTATTTTTAATGATTTTTTTTTTTATTGAACTAAAAATTTGTTTTTTTTCTATTATTTACTATTTTAATTGTTTTTATTTTTTACAATTAATTTTTTTTTTAATTTGCTTATATTTGCATTTTCGATGTTTATTTTTGGCTTTTTTAAAACAGTTTATATTAATTTTTGTTAGATTAAAAATTAATTTAATTTATTTATTTTTATTTTTGTCCTTTTATTATTCATTATTTGAACTTAATTCATATTTAATTCATATTTTTATATTTAATTAATTTTACATTTTTTTTTTTAAATTTGCTTATTATTTGCATTTTCAATGTTTATTTTTGGCTTTTTTATAACAGTTTATATTAACTTTTGTTAGATTAAAAATTATTTCAATTTTTTTTATTTTTGATACTTTTATTGTTCATTATTTGAATTTAAATTATTTTTAATTCATATTTTTATATTTAATAAATTTAACATTTTTTTTTTAAATTTGCTTATTATTTGCATTTTCGTTGTTTATTTTGTGTTTTTCTTAAACAATTCGTTTTAATTTTTGATAAACTAAAAATGAATTTAATTTTATTTTTTTTTATTATTATTCATTATTATTATTCATTATTTATTATTATTTCATTATTTGAATTATTATTTATTATTTCATTATTTAAATTTAATTTATATTTAATTCATATTTTTATATTTAATCAATTTTACATTTTTTTTTAAATTTGCTTATTATTTGAATCTTTGATGTTTATTTTTTGTTTTGCATAAACAATTTGTTTTAATTTTTAATAAACTAAAAATGAATTTAATTTTATTTTATTTTAGTTATTATATTGTATGGTTATTATATTAATTATTGGAATTGTTTTTGATGGTTATATATGTATATATTTGTTAACAATTTAACTGTAATTGTGTTTTAATAAAAATTAACTTTAAAAAAAAAACCTGAAAATTTTTTTATTTGTACATATAATTTTTTTTTTGTTTACTTTTAAAATTTTATAATTTTTATAAATTACATATTTAATATTTGTTTTTTTTTATGATTTTCATTATTACTTTACCTTTTTCATTATTATATTTTTTGCTTATTTTATATATTTTTTTATATTTTTTATATATTTTATATATTTTTTTTTAAAATCGTTAAAAAGTTTCCTTTTCAAAATTAATCATATTTTGTATATCTATGGCAACAATTAAATTTTAATGATATTTGGTTAAAATTTTTAAAGATTATTAATATCTATAAATATTTTTGTTTTGTAGTTGAAGCAATTTTATATTCTTTTTTAAATTAAATTTTAATTTAAAACTTTTTTATTTTCTTTTTTTGAATTAGTATATTTATTTTTTAGTTTTCTTGTATTTTTTAACTTTCATTTAATTTTTTTATTTATTTATTTTATTTTTTTTATCTATTCTTTTTACGTATTTTTACATTTATTTGTTTCTTAATTCAATTTAATAATAATATACTTTTATTTTAATTTTTAATAAAGATACCTTGATATATTTTTATTTTAGCTTTTAATTATAGTTAATTTTAATACTTAATATAATTAAATTTTATATTTATTATTATTATTTTTATATATTTTTTAGTATCTTTATTACTTTAAAAATTTTTAATTTAATTTTTAATTATAGTTAATTTTAATTAAAAAAACAGAATTTAAAATATGTTGGTATTATTTTTTTATTTTATCCCTCTTTATTATTTTTACTTTTCACTTTATTATTTTATTACTTCTTTTCCGTTATGATTTTTTGTAATTTGTATTAGATATTTGTTATTTGAATTTAATAGTTATTTATATATTTATATGTGTTACTAACTATTTAATTTTTTTATTTTATTTTTTAATTTGCTTATTATTCATTCATCATCATTTGACTCTTTTTAGTTTAATATTTATTTAATATTTGAATTATTTTTAATTAATTTTTAATCAAATTATTTTTCAATATATTTAGTTAAATTTAAAAAAAAAATTTAATAATTAAATTATTAACATTTTTTATTATTTAATTTCCCTTTTTATTGTATTACACATTTTTTATTTATTTTATTTTATCTTTTACATTTTTGCTCTCAACAATTACTATCTACTGTCTTTGCCTTTTCTCATGTTCCTTTTTTTCTTTATTTTTTTTCCAGAGCTCTGCACTTGCCACCATTGCCTGTGTTTGTGCGCAACTCGCTCCCGGCTCAAATATGTATCTGCCACCCAAACCAAATGGCTATAATTATCCAGAACCCAAAAATCCACTGGTAAGTAACTATGTAACTTAAAATCAGCTTGAAATTAAAGGCTTGATAAAGCACAAGTACGCCTTGCAACCATCAGCACAATCACAAAAGAGCGAATGTGAAATTACCGTTAGCGTTTGTTGGCAGTAACCATAATTGATGTGCTTTTGAATTCCTTTCGCTTAGTTTTGGCATGAGAAAATTTTCGATTAATACAAATTTTTGTGAGTGGTTTGGGGAGTTAACTAATTAACTAATGGAAATAATAACGGTGCAATTCAGAGAGTAAAAAAATTTGTTGAATTGAATTTAAACTGATTAATCGCATGAGGTAATTAGTCCACCAGTAAGCAATGAAATACTATATTGTGAGTCTGGATACACATACGCTACAGATGAGTCAGAGAAGATTAGAACGTTTTACTATATTCCGATTAAGCCCGCAGGATGCCAGCTAAACTTTGCTCTCATAACTGACTTTAGTGATTTCTCGCTAACTACAGTAAAGTAACAGGACTTGTTAACCATAAGCTTCTATTCTGAGCTTTTTAATCCGGTTGTAAACTATTTTAATTTCCTCTCAAGTATATTCAGCCGCATAGTTTGACATATTCAGACCCAACAAGGTGAAATGTCTCCATTCTCCTCATATCGAACCGTTCGTTGTCTCCTCGCCTACAAAGCTTTGAAAGCTCTGTTGGTTTGGTTTAGTTGTCGCCTTTAACTAGATTTTCCTCACTTCCTCGATAGTGAAACATCGACTGAATCGCTGAGCCCGCTTGCAATGAAGGCAAAGATATGCCCATCTCTACCGAACTCTCTACTCACTCAGTCACTTTGGCCAAACAAAAAGATAACGTAAAATGGACTCTCTCAAAAGAACGGTGGGAAGTTAAGGAGCGGAGGCTTCATTCTGCTAAAAATGGTATTCATCTTTAATGATACCACCCAACCTTGACAAGAGCTTACTTCCGATAACCGAAAACTGTCATCCACCTTGAACTGTCTGTCAGCTTTTCTTTTCAATATTTATAAGGGCATCGAAGTGGATGGCCAGTGAAGCTTGCCAGTGATATCACAATGGTCCCACCAGGGTTCAAGTGTATGGATTCTTTCACTTCTTCCTACCCCACTTGAAGAACACTCTGATATTTAGCCTGGGAACTACTTCCCATTCTCGTGGCCAGAGAGAAATATAAGACGACCTTAAAAGCAAAAAAGATCTCAAACACCAACATCCTCATCCCGCACGGCGTGTGTAAGATTAAAGGAAAAATAATAACAAAATAAAATCATATTAAAACCGTTAAAGTGCAATTTGTTAGCAGAAATTTGCTTTAAAAGTGGAAATGTCTCCAATGGAATTACAAAAGGGTATATGAGCACCTCAAATTATTGCGCTCACCGGCAACAGTAAAAGTAATTGACGGCATGCAATGAAGAAGAGGCTCGGCACTGCGCCGATGAAGAAGAGAAACCGGTAGATATATATGTATGTATGACACTTAATACCCACGAGGTGAAGGCACGTGGAATGACGGAGCAGAGACAAATAGAGTGATGGCAGCAACCAAGCAAAACCGACACATAAAAAACAACAACAAGAGCAACAACAAATAAAGAGACTATAAAGCAATTATTCCCTACTTTTGATGTGCTCCACCGTTTGTATACTATAGACATGTGTGTGTGTTTGCGTCTTTCTTTATTTGCTTGGTGATTGCCAAAATTGGTGAGCAAAAAAAAAAAAAAAATAAATAAAAAAATAAGCAAAAGTTAATAATAATAAAAGCAAATATCAAGTCAAGTCGCAGACGTCAATCGGTTAGTAGGTGAATGTGCTCAGCGAGGCACTGCACGGAGGGCAGTAAAAAGAAAAATAGGTACAACAACAAAGACGGCATCTCACATCGCTCATAGCAATTGTGTTGCATTTACATCGCTGTACCGTTATATATGTATGCCACCAGTTAATAGGTTAGCAAATGGTTGCTCCCAGTCACTGCAAAAAAAAAAACAAAAACAAAAAAAACGCTACAACTCGGTAACTTGCCAACTTGCCGGCGCTTTCTTCCCTACTGCTCTGCTGCCGGCCGGCTTTGTTGGCGTTGGTGGCTTCCATAAGCTGCAGCCTGACTGCCTATTCATTTCCCTTTTACTTTTTATTGACTTTTCATTGTTGTTGCTGTCCGTTAAAGTGTTTAAATTGGAGAAGAGGCAAATTTGCTAAGCTTTTGTTTTCATTTTATTTTTTTTTTTTTAATTTTATTATTGTTGTTTCCATTTTTATTTGTGTGGCATCAAGAAAATGTTGCAAGCACCGTTAAAAATGTAATGTGGCAACAGCAGTAGCAGCAGCCATCGCCGTGACTATTGTATGACTTCATTTTACGATTGTTGCAGGTTGGGCGAGATTTCGACTTGATATGTTTTCGGATATATAGAAGCAGCCAAAAACCTGCAATCGCTGCAGTGAAAACATAAACTGGTACGGAAATGTACTAGTTTGTTGCTAGCAAATACTGACACTAGTCAGAAAAATTTTAAGCAATCGATTTAATTTCAAAAAACTAGTTTCCTACTAGATCACTTCGGTACTAGTTCGAAAAAATACCAAGCTCTTATTGATTATAAAATCTTTAAGCAAGTTTTAAAGTGATTTCATAAGAGAAAAAAATTATAATTTTTTTTATTTTTTATTTAGAAAATTATTTTAAATTCTTTTTATTTTTCGTATTTTTTATATTTTTTGTTTATTTTATATATGTAGATATTTTTACGATTTTAATTAATAATTGATCATATTATAATGCTTTGTTTTAGCTAACATATTTTTTTGCAGTTTATTAACTCCAAACAGTCACAGCTAAAAACTAACGGTTTCACTAAATGTAGCTAATGGAATCAGATCTGCTAATAAAAAATCTTCTGTTGAATATTTTTAATACATTTTGTATATTCAGCCAGTTACCAGTTCAATATTAAGAATAATAATGAACTGGTAACTTTTTCTACCTTTTTGAACTAGTATGAGAACTAGTAAATTTCGGCATAAAATCTAACAATTGATACACTGTCTTATCTTAGTATTAAAAATAGCACTTACTTGGTTGAAAAAAATAAACACAAAGTTGTCATACCAGTTTTGGAGTAGTTTGTAACTAGTTCTTTTGATTAGAAAATAAACGTGTAATGGAATATTTACTTAGTCATTGTATTTTGCTGTTTGCAATTAATTTTTTATAAGCAAAATCTAATTTTAAAAAATCAACTGGGAACTTTTGTTGACCGTTTTGAACTAGTATAAGGACTGGTTATCACGGAATAAAACCTGGTAGTTGCCTGATCGTCTTAGAAAATCCTAAAAATACCATTTTCTGATTTGAAAAAAAAATCAGTTGGTTGGACTATGTTCAAAGTAGGTTTTAACTAGTTCATTTCGTTCAAAATATGAAAAGTTTTATTGAATATTTTTTAACAATTTGCAATTTATCGCCTTCAAAACATTTTTTAATGTCAAATTTTTGTTTAAAAATCAACTGGTTACCTTTCTCACCTTTATCAACTAGTATGAGGACTAGTATATTTCTAAACAAAATCTGAAAAAATCCAGCTTTTGGCGTTTGGTGAAAGTACCATTTACTTATTTGGGGGGAAAAAATTGACTGGTCAGACTAGTTACGGAGCAGTTTGCAAACAGTTCATCTGTTAACAGGCCTGCAGTTACTTATTCAATACTTTAAAAAATATATCTATATGTATTTATTAACAACTTCATTTGCGCTTGTAACAAATGAGATTAGTTGCAGGTTTTAGTTGCTCACGTTACGAAAAGTTACCGTTAATTTTGAGCTGTTGTTTTGATTGTTTGCAGTTTTATGTGTATCAAATTATTTTTGGCCTGTATTTTGTGTATTCTTATTAAGAGATTTTTAACTGTTAATTAGATATTTGTTTCTCTTTCCTTTTTTTCGGCAATTATGTTGCATTTGTACTACTTGCAACAACACATTTTTACCAGAAGAAGCAAGCATTTGATTAACATTTTGAGTATGAAATGAAAAGCTCTTGGGTGAAAACAATTATTTTCCCCGTTGTTTAATGAAAGATATACATGAGAAGAAGTATGATTTTTTTTACTGCTATAACATTCTAACAATTAGTAAATCATTACCACCCACACCTACTAATTTTTAACTGAAAATCGTGTAAAGTTTTCATTTTTTATTTTTCTTTGCCAAAAACACTTCTATATATCAATTTCGACCTTTATCAACAGTCACTAGAGCAATAACGCAAGAAAAATAACAGTTAAAAACTAACATCTGTAGAATAATACCCGAAAACAACTGTAAAAATTGCAACAATTATCATACTTTCAAAATTACTCATGCCAAAGCCATGTCTTTTGAACCTTTGACATTGCAACAAGGTGTGTGCAAATGAACGAAAAACTGCAGCTAAACGATGGAAGAGCAGAGTTAGAAGAAATTAAATGCAGGAACAAAAAATTTTAAGAGATGCAGAAGAAAACATGAATGAAAATTAAACAAAACATCATGAAAAAAATCTGAAATTAAAGAATATAAAATAAAATTAAGCAGAATAAAACAAGAAATTAAAATAATATTAAATACAACAAAACTAAATGAAATAAAAAAAATATAATAATTTAACGTAAAACAAATAAAAACAAAAAATAATAATTTGATTTAAATTAAACTAAATTAAGTAAAGTAATATAAAATACTATAAAACAAAACAAAATAAAGTGATATAAAATAGAGTAAATTAAAAAAAATTTAAAGTAAATTAAATAATATAAATAAAATTGAATAAAATTGTATCAGATTAAATTAACTTAAGTCATACAAAATTAAAATAATTTAAATTAAATTAAATAAAGTGATATAAAATAAAATAAAAACCAAAATAAAGGAAAAAATTAAAAAAAAAATAAGAAGAAAATAAAAGTAAAACTAAAAACAAGAAATATATGTTTTTATGTTTATATTACATATTTATAAAATATAAAAATATGCCTTCACATATAATTATACTTAATTGACGCTTTGTAACCGGTAAAGCAATTTTCCGCCGAACTCCTCCTCCAAATTGTGATTTTGCGTCACCTCCGAACGGCCAATAGATATTTCTGAGAAACTTTTATTTCATGTCAGAAATACACTCGGATGGCTTGACATTCCCTGCCAAGGGGCGATACCGCTGAAACATGGTATCCTAGTCTTCGCGCATCACTCTTCGTAGAGAGAGTGTACTTCGTTTTGCCCTTGTTTACCGCCAGACTCATATTCGCCGATTCCTTTTCAGTTGCAGAAAATGCAACAGTAATATATTGCTTGTAGCATCCGCTCCATCGCCTTGTCTAAAACCTCGAGCGGTATTGACAGAGCTGGTGGTACTGTTCAATGTAATTTCAATCCAATTTTCCTTGGATATTGGATATGCTCCTTCCATAATTTCATTGCCAATTGCATAACTGTATTAAGATTACCGTTATCATCGCAGTAGTTTGATGTTAAGGACTTGAAACCAGTCGTGCGATCACAGGGATGAACCCGGAGACCTGGGGACGAAATCAACGCCTTAGAACTCATTTTCCGCATGGCGGTTATATCAGCCTTTATCTCTCCGAAGGCTTACGCAATGACATAGTGATATCTACCTTTGTTTGGGTCTCTTTTCCATTTTGCGGAGGTAGAAGGGAATATGATACGGGCTGGTGCCGTTCTCAATGGGCATGAGCACATGTGGTGAGACCCAAACCCAGCGCACATTCGAAGTCCAAATTCTGAAAAGATATAAAAACTTAAATAAATGAAAACAAAAATTAAATCATATTACAATAATTTAATTAAAAAAATTAAATATAGTTAAATTATTATTTAATTAAATGGACTTAAATAAATGAAAATAAAATATCTCAAAATACATTAAGATAAAATAAAATTAAAAATTATAGTACAATGAATAAATTAAACAAATTAGTTTAATTTGTTTAAATAAAATAAAATGTATAAATAATAAAAAATTAATAATAATAATTAGAGCTCATCTCTACATAAATAAAACTAAATATCTTGAAATAAATGAAATATATAAAAAATATTGAAATCAATTTATTAAAGAAAATAAACATAACTAAATTAAATAAAAATATATATATAAAAAATAATGAAGCTTATATAAAATAAAATTAAGTATAAAAAGTTAACAAAATTTTATTGCATTTAATTAATTTAAAAAAATCGAATTGAATTAAAAAAACTAGTCTAAAGAATTATATTTATCATAAAATATAAATAAACATATCTTAAAAAATACTGAATTTAGATTGCTTAAATAAAATAAAAAGTAGATAAATATATTAAAAAAATAAATAAATGAACTTAAATAAACCAAAAGGGAATATCTTAAAGTAGAAAATTATAAACTAATAATAAAAAAAATAAAATTCTTAGAGTAAATTCGAAAAATAAATTATATTACTTTAAATTAATAAAAAGTAAATTTAAATAAAATATTTAAATTAACTCATTTGCTTGAATAAAATAAAAAAATAGATAAATACAATTAAAAAATGAAAAAATAAACCAAAAAAAAATATTTTAAAATAAAAAAAATTATAAAAAATAAATAAGCTTATATTAAAAAAGAGATATCTTAGAATTAACTCAAATGAAATGAATGAAATTTAATTATTTTCAAGTAATAAAAGTGTGACTTAAAATAAAATAATTAATTTAACTTAATTTAGACTGCTTAAATAAAACAAAAAAAATATTATTAAAAAACAAATAAATGAACTTAAATAAACTAAAAGGAAATATTGTAGAATTAAGAATTTAAAATAATAAATAAACTTTTATTTAAAAAAAAAGTTAGAGTAAATTCAAATAATAGAAATTAATTTTATTACTTCAAAATTAATAAAAAAGTAACTTAAAATAAAATATTTAATTTAACTCATTTGCTTGAATAAAATAAAAAAAATAGATAAATATAATTGAAAAATAAAAAAATAAACCAAAAAAAAAATATTTTAAAATAATAAATTATAAAAAATAAATAAACTTATATTAAAAAAAGTTAACTCATATAATAAAAATTAATTATATTATTTTAAATTATTAAAAAGGTAACTTAAAATAAAATGATTAACCTAACTCAATTTACATTGCTAAATCAAATAAAAAATAGATAAATGAATTAAAAAAAATAATTAAATGAACTTAAATAAACCAAAAGGAAATATCTTAAAATTAAAAATCATAAATATAAATAAACTAATATTAAAAAAAAATTCTTAGAGTAAATTCAAATAATAAAAATAAAGTATATTATTTTAAATTAATAAAAAGTTAATTAAAATAAAATATTTAATTTAACTCATTTGCTTGAATAAAATAAAAAATAGATAAATGTATTAAAAAAAATAGAAAAATGAACTTAAATAAACCAAAAGTAAGTAATTTGAAATAAAAAAATAAAAAAATTAATTAAATTGAAAATTTAATTTGAATTAAATAACATAAAAATATATTTATGAAACCCCACTTTTCTTAAATTTGAAAGCAAGAAACAGGCTTTAGAAAAACTCCAAAGGGAAATTGAGTAGAACAAGAAATAAATATTTAAAAAAAAAAAAAAGTTGTTGTAAAAACGTTGCCAGCAAGTTTGGAGACTGGCTCTATTTCCATACATACATATGTACTTGTGCATTACATATGTATATGCAGCACCGATAACACCAGCGATATGCACAAACGTCAATAGTTAGTTAAGTGCCAAAGCAGTAGCTACCATGAGACACCAACAAAAACTATGAAAGAAGTAACAAAGAGTAAACGAAACCAAAAAGCATAAAGCTAGCGACCCGCACCATTGCACATCACGACGTGCCACAAAAACTCTTGAACTTTAAATTAAAGCGACCAACGGCAAAAAGCGCGCAGCAACACAACAACAACAACAACAAGACCAACAAAGAGACATGAGCAAAAAAAAAAAATGTGAAGATATAGATATACATACATACATACGTATATTTGAGCAGCCAGACTTCCAGCCGCACAAGCAGGCAGACCGACAGACATCGAAGCAACCAGTCAAACAGTCAGTCAGCCCAGTCAATGGCTCAGCAGGGCTAATATGTTTACCGCCTGCGAAAGAACAGTTGTCATTGTTGTTGTTAATTTTTTTTTTTTTTTTTTTTTTTTTTTTTTTTTTTGGTATTTTGAAGCCACAAAAAGAAGAACAACTGTTAAAGCTCTCTTATGTCTGTCTGTCTGTCTGTCTGTCTGTCTGTTGAGACTGTCTGTTGAGTCTATCTGTTGAGACTGTCTGTCTGATCGTGGCCTAAAGTTGCATGCAACCTGCTAGCTAACTGACAGCAATTCTCAGCCTTTTTCACCTCTACTCTCCGCCCTCAACCGCTTTGTGCCACGATCAGCGAACTCCTCAGGCTAACAACCTACACTCACATACAGTTATGCATATATGTATATATGTACGTGTCTGCAGTTCCTACGTAAATATGTATGTGCATGTCTCTACGACATTCTTTCCGAGTGCGCAATGCCGCACCTCCGGTTTCTAACCAAACAAAAAAGTTGTTGTTTTTTTTCACCCACTTCAGCTTCATCAGAGCTCTTCAGTGCGCTGGCGTGCTCTGCGGCAACCGGCATTTTTCGTCGCATTTTGCATAACATTGCATTGCACATTGCAGTTTAGTGTTCGTCAATTGCCGCAAATTGTGGCGACATACGCCAGTTGAATGTCGCCATTTGCCGACGCTGACAGCGACGACGACGACAACGACGACTGCAACGGCAATGGGTGGACGGCACATTTCAACTTGTTGGCAACATAGGTTATTACCGCCGCTGCTGCTTGCGCGACTGAGTTTGTTTTATGTTGTTGTTGTTGTTGTTGTCGCTGCTGCTGCTGTTTTTGGTATTTGCTACTAAAATCCTACTACTATTTGCACAACTCAGTGCTCAGGGGGTGCACATGTTGGCTTTGCTGTCATTTTGGGTCACCTCACTTGCGCCGAAAATGGGTTGTCACAGCCATGAGGTTACTAGCTTTTGGTGTTGTAGTTTTTGTTTTGTTTTTATTGTTGTGACTTTGAGCGCTACTGCTTTTTGCCACTGGTCACTATTGGCATTTCTAATTTGACTGTGAAATACCTTTGGTGGGCTGGTTGTTGTCGGCATTTGGTTATTTTCACAAGCTTTCTGGAAGCCTTCTGGAAGTTAAACGCTTTTTCAGCGGCATTTCTTTTCTCTTCTTTTGGTGGTGGGAATTTTTCAAATTACGTAAAAAGTGCAACTTTTATTTAACAGCTTAAATGTACCTCTAGTCCTGTGCTCTGCCGGGATCCCTGTCTTAATGGAGCTGGAGCGGAGGTAATCCCATAATACGGAGATTACTTATTCCAGCTTAGATGAGAGTGGGCTTAAGGAGAGAGCTCAAGAAGTCATATGAGTCTAATATTGATGGAGTCACAAATAAATTACTCGGTCGGTGCGGTCGACAAGTAGGAGCCAAAATCATATTCCGGTTTCTCATACAGCCGACCACAGAGAGACTACTCGTTCTAGTTTTGTAATCTCAAGGACGCTCTCATAACTTTCATAGTCAAATTACCACTTCGAAAATTATTTTGTGCTTCCGAAGAGTGGAAGGTAGCCTCCAAATTCTTTGAATGCAACATTCCAGTATTTAAAGATCAATTATTCAATAGTAAAGTGTTTTTCAAAATTTGAATTTATGTATCTCTTATAGGTCATCTTCAAAAAAACCTTATAAATTTCCGAAAAACAGACTGATCTATATACATATGTCTCCTTCTTTTTCAGCGACCTGGAAACCAGCCCGGCCCAGGACCACGCCCACCAGGCCCACAACGCCCATCACAACCTGGACCAGGCGAGCCTGTAAGTATCATATTTTACATATACATATTTAAAGAAAAAGAAAAGAGCTTCCGTTTACGCTTTAAAACTGTCCACAACAAGTTTCAATTAGAAAATAATATGAGTTCTCACAAAGCTTTTTATCGATATTAACTTGAGAAGCTTTTACTTCGAAAATATATTGTATATATTTGTAAGAAAATGATGATTTATGTAAAAATAATTAAAGGCTTTTTGGAGCTTAAATTTCAAAATGTCAAGCTTTAAAGCTTGCTTGAAGACTTATAAAAAATAAAGCTTTTTAGACCTTTCACATAAAAAGTAAACTTTTACTATTTTGCGCAATATATGTAAATATTTGATTGAAAGAATAATAGAATGCTTTCGTAAAAAATTATAAAAGCTTTCTGTTCAAATATCAACTCAAAAAAATTATCTAAAAATAAAACGTTTTATAGTTTTCATTTTAAGAAGAATTTAAAAGCTGTTAACTTTATAAAAACATTAATTCAATATTAGTATTAGATTTATCATTAAAAAATTATATAAGCTTTCTTCGCGGCATCCAATCAACTTTCGATTTTATCTAAAATATCTACTCGTTTTTTTTTTGTTTTTCAAAAATATATTTCGTATGTATTTTATTCTTATATATTAAGTGCACTTTGATTAAAAAAGTGAAAGCTCTTAACAATTTTTAGAGCTTTAATGCTTTAAGTATGAGACTGTCGGCATCCTGAATTAATGCTGTAAGAAAAGCCTTAAAGCTTTTACTCTTCATAAACTCAGTTTCTTTACAACATTTTCTTTCTCTCTATCTCTCTCTCTCTCTCGCCTTACAGGGTCACGTTCACGTACCCGGCATGCCATTCGACTTCGAGTATGCCGTCAATGATATTGACACTGCCAACGATTATGCCCACAAAGCTTCGAGTAATGGTGATGTGGTGACCGGTGAATATCGCGTTGCACTGCCCGATGGTCGTACACAGATCGTACGTTATACTGCCGATTGGAAGACTGGCTATCATGCGGATGTCAGCTACGAGGGTGAACCGCAATTTCCACAAGGTCCTGGCGGTCGACCTGGCTATAAGTATTAGATGAGCAACAAGCAACCGGTATATTGGAGCGCCTGAAGCACACTTTTGCACGCAAGCACACTGAAACAAACAAACAGAAAAAACGAACACAAACGATTGCTCACGAGCACGCATACACACGCACAGCTACAGTTGCATTGTTTGCTACATTAACTGCCACAATAGTAACAACAACAACAACAACAACAACTACAGCAATAATAAATTAACACTGCCCTCCACTCAATAAATGTAACAACAGAAACAACGATAAAACGATGAAATTGAAAATTTTGGTTTGGAAATTTTAAATTTTTTTAATTGTAAATTTTTTTCATTTTTCTATATTTTTATATATTGAAATTTTTATATTAGCTGTTTATTTTAATGAAGATTTTTAGTATTGAAATATATTTTATGTCTAATTTTAATTAATTAATACAGCGTAGTTGATATAAATTAATTTTTATAAAATAAAATGAAAAAAGAATTTCGAAATTTTTTGTATTCCGTATTTAAAATGTGCAAATTCTTTACGAATAAATAAAAACGATACAAAATAAATGAGAAGTGTTGGTTTTGTTTGATTGATTAAAGTGAAATGTAATTGAAAAAAATATGTTTCAGATTTTTGCAGCTTTTGAAAGCTTCTTCGCATTCCAAAAGCTTATCAAAAGCTTTCTAAAAGTGAGTTATAAGCTTTCACGTGAATTATTAAAATTTAGATTTAATGTTTAATATAATGAAAAACTTTGCCTACAGAAAAACTTTAGAAAGCTCAGTCTTATAAATAGTTTAGTACTTATAGAGAAGTTTGGAAAAGTTTTCGTCCACTAGTTGAGTAATTTTAATCTCTTTTTCAATATGCCAAATTTTGGTTTAATGAAAGACCAACGAAAGAGTTTATTTTACACCTTAGTTAAAAGCTTGGAGCTTGAAAATAAAATTAAAAATAATTAAAAAGCGCTTATCAATTCTCAAAGTCATTTAGCTATTTGTTTCACTATTTTCCTCTAATACTTTTTAGTTTGGCATCTTCTTTAGAAAAGATCTTGTAACTCGTTTAACAGCTCACTAAAATAAACTTTAAAGCTTTTTATATTGATTTCAAAATTGATTTCTAATATTCTTAACCTTTTTAAAAGCTCTCCAGATTTTAAAATTTCCCATTTAGAAATTCTTAGGGCTTGGAGGGAGTTTATTTCAAATTTAAATCTTACAACTTGAAATAAACTCTGCTTAATTTTTTTCGGGAGCTTTGATGTTATGAAAGAGCTTTTTGGAAGAATAACTTTTCCAAATACCACAGGTAATCATTATAAATCACTGATACAAAAATAAAATAAAAAAGTTTCAAAGCCAAACTTTTTATAAAAACTTTAAGATACTTTATTCAATGAAAATATTTTATAAATAAGTGGAAAATATGAAAACAAGCTGAGGTTTCGCTCCTGGTTAAAGCGTTTTAATTAAAGCTCTAGAAGCGTTTATGTACATTCATAAAGTAAAAAATCGAAAAAATATTCATATTATAAATGTAATGAAAATGTGTTCCACACACAGACAATTAAAACTCTTAATTTGTAAGAAACTCCTCATTTCGTGTGAAAGCTCAAAAAGCTCTACTCATTTTGAAATCTTAAAGTATTGCGACAATAGAGTCATTAAATTGTCTGCTTAATAAAATTTGTTCTTATCCTGAAATCTCTATTTTAGCAATTTTATTTATTTCACTCTTCCTTATGTCCCTTCGTACGCACGTATGTATGTACGTACATTTGCATTAACCTCTTCGTCTGCAACTTTTACTTTTAATGAGTTTTTCCGCTGCAGCGGCAGTTGGAAAAAAATATATTTTTCGTTTTCTTCTTTCGCCATTCTTATTTTTACCTGTTTTTATTTGAGCGCTACTCTCAAGTGGGCACATAATTTATGAGTTTGCGTTACCAATAAAAATCGTCTGCATAATAATGAAAGCGTTTTGCAGTTTGAAAAAAAGTGTATCAATTAGAGCAATGAGTTTTCTTTTTATAGCGACAAATAATAGTTAAAATAATTGAAAAATTTCGAAAGCTCATAATTTAAAATTTAACTATTAATTATTTTGTAAATCTTTCAAAAATCAAAATTTAAGCTTTATGTTATTCTTTAAGCGTTTAATGAAAGAATTCGGTAAAATTCCATCCTCTAAAAAAAACAAGTAATATGCTTTGAAGCTTCCACAAATATTTAGGGAAAGCTTACCATTCAAAATTTAACATATACCGTAAAAGTTTCAAAAGTTTTAGTGAAAGCTCATGCTTAAAATTTGAACTTTAAATTATACTCAAAAAATGCCAATGAAAGCTCATCCGTTAATTTAAAACTTTTTGTTATTCTATACAACTTTCAAAATTATTTAATGAAAGCTCATACTTAATTAATTTTTATTTAAAGTTTCTAAAAATTCTTGGAGAAAGCTCATCCTTAAAAATTTAACTTTAAATTATCCTCGGAATATTCAAAAGGGACTTAGTGAAAGCTCATCCTTAAAAATTGACTTTAAATGGTGAGCTAAAACTTCACAAAATTGCCCTGAAATCTCATCCATTAAGAGCTTAAATAAAACTTAACTCTTGGCTAACCCCATGACGACCTTTTCCGATGCCAATAGCCATTGACATTCTTTATATTTCTACCTCATTGTTGTTTTTGTAGCTCAAACACTGCTTCTAACCTTAAGCCACCCTGACTACGTGACCGACGTACGCCACTAGCACGGATTCTAAATATAATATTATCGTCGTTTTTCGTTGGCTCATAATTTGTCGGCTTCAAAGGTATGCCTAAGCCTAAGGTATGCTAAATTTTCATATGGATTTGTCTGGCTTAAAGTTGGTCAAAGTAAAAAGTGTAGTGAAAACTTGACCTTAGAATCTGACGGATGATCCATTTTAGCTACCCCATGTGGAACAAGGTGCCGAAAGGAACCTTCGAGAACGAGAACCTTCGAGAACCAGAACCTTCGATAACGAAACCTTTAAGTCTCGTTAAAAAATAAGACGAGGTCATAATCACAGTCAACTGGGCAAATATGGAGCAGATCAACCAGAAAAGTATTGTACTACTCCACTTGTACTCGTTTAAGATCAAAAAGGACAGCCATATTTAACCATGGTGGTATGAGATAAAGTGCAGAGCTCCATCAAAGTCATATCTACTTACCTGAAGACGCAGATATTTTTGTATTTCATAGTTTCTGCTAACATTTTTTATACTAAGCTGATTATGATTATTTATGAAAAAAAAAGAATATTAAAAATAAAAGAATTTAATATATTATTTCCCGTTACCACAGCGCATGTGCTCAACTAAGGGTTAATTGCGCTTTGGCGTCATCTAGCGGCTGCTAGTAGCAATCAATCATATATGTTAAACTAGCGTTGTCTAGCGGCAGTGAGCAAGAGCAGGTTCGTGTGGAGTGCCAAAAATCCACCAGAGAACTTATAATCACAAGAAGGTGCAATCAGAGATTTTAAACTGGAGTTCAAATAAAACATTGCTTTTGTATTTAAATATTTTATATTATTTATTCTTTTTTGCCTTATATTTTCTGTCAAATACTTAATAATTATGTATAACATATTGGTACAACACAAACACTGGATGCATATATTATATTATATGCATTATTTGTAGGAGTTAATTTATGGTTTTTATATATATTTACAATTTTATTTGTTGTGGTCTTTTATTATATTTACCTTATTGTGTATTTATATTTTATTATTATATATATTTCTATTTTGCACCTAAGTTTAGCTTATAATTATGATAGTATGATAAAAATAATCTTTTTGCTTTGTTCTTTAGTTTTTGAATATTACTTCATATGTACAATTACTTAACTTAAACAGACTCGTATTATTATTTTTTTTTTTGTACCTAATAATTAATATTTTTTAATTTTTGTTTTTTTATACACACATACATATATGTTTGTATTTGTCCTTACTTTCTTAAATTTGTTTGGTGTTTTTAAATCAGATTTTTCATTTGTATTTCATTAATTTTAAATTATTTGTTTATACTTTTCATTTTGTATATTTTACATATCCTGTATTTATTTTTATTTAATCTGTAATATAGAGATTTTTCGACTTTAATTTTTTGGCTAACCTGTATTTTATTCTTTATTTTATTTCTTTATTTCTTTATTTTCTTTATTTTATGTTTACTTTCCTTCTATTAAAATTATATAGTTTTATATTTTTTTAAACTTATTTATTTTATGTTCTATTTTATTTACTTTTATTTATTTTATTTTACTTTTATTTAATTAATTTCCTCTTTTTTTTATTTCTTACCTTTACTTTATTTTATTTTCTACTTTTATTTTATTTCATTTTTTTATTTTTATACCCTTATTTATTTTTTATTATTTTTTTAATTTTTGTTAATTTTTTTTATTTTTTACTTTTTTTTTTTTATTTTTTTTTACTTTTTTTATTTTTTTTTATTTTTTTTACTTTTTTTTATTTTTTTTATTTTAATTTTTTTTTATTTTAATTTTTTTTTTATTTTTATTTTTTTTTATTTTTATTTTTTTTTTTAATATTTTTTTTATTTATTTTTATATTTTTCATCTTAAAATTTTTTATTTTATATTTTTATTATTTTTTATTTTTAAATTCTTTATTTTTATTTTTTTTCATTTTTTAATTTATTTTCATATTTTTATATTTTTATTTTCATATTTTTATTTTTTTTATATTTTTGTATTTTTACATTTTTTTATATTTTTACATTTTTTTATATTTTTACATTTTTTTATATTTTTAATTTTCTTATTTTTTATTTTAACATTTTTTTGTTTTCATATTTTTATTTTTTAATTTCATATTTTTATATTTTTATATTTTATATTTTGGTATTTTATATCTTTATACTTTTGTATTTTATATTTTTATACTTTTGTATTTTTTATGTATATTTTTTTACATTTTCTATTTTCATTTTCTTTTACATTTTTATTTTTTATTCATTTTACATTTTTTATTTTTGTTATTTTACATTTTTTATTGTTATTTTTTTTACATATTTTATTTTTATATTTTTTATCTTTATGATTTTTATTTATATATTATGTTGTTATAAAATTTATTTTTAAATATTTTATTTATATACTTTGTTTTTAATTTCAACTTTTTTTTTTAATTTTTCTATTTAATGCATTTTTATCTCTTTTTTACTTTTTTACCTTTTTATTTTATTTTATTATTTTTGCCTTAAAATTGTTTTTTTTTTATTTCAGTGTTTAATATTTTATTTTATATATATATATTTGTATTTCTTTGTTTTGGAATATATATTTTCTTTTTTAAATCTTTTTTATGGTATTATCATCATAAATTATTTTAATTAACTTTGCATGTAACATAATTTTTAATTATTAATATGAGATAGCCGTGCATTGTAAATACATTTATATTTTAGTATTAATAGTCTTTTTAAAATATAACATAATATATATAATTTTAGATACATATATTAGAATCAAGGATGCCCTTAGACAACCGTACTTTTCTTATTTTTAAAATTTACACATTAAATATATATATATATATTTTTAATTAATTTTTCAATTTTTTTTAATTTTTTTTTTAATTTTGAGCCATCTTAACCGCTATGGTTAGCTTAATGAATGACCTATATAAAAAAATATTTCCATAATTGTTAGCCTTTTAATTTATTTTATTTTACTTTACTTTTAAATTTTCTATTTGATAAATTTTTATATTCTTTTTTTTTTGCATAATATATGAATAATTTATTTAACCTAATTTTTAGTTTTGTTACGTGTTTTTGTTGATAGTAAATACATATGTATATGTATCTATGTATGTAACTCTGTATTTATGCGCATTTACAGGTTTAAACCATTTTGGAAGATTGCAGATTTCATTTCTTTTATAAAATTTACAATAGGGATATTTTAATTATAATATTTACTTTTTCTTTAATGTTACTAAATTGGGCAGGTTAACTATGGAACTTGTTCTAAGGATTACATAATATTTATTTGTATTTTATATATAATATGTATGTAGGTAAGTAGATGATTAAATGTAAATAAATTAAAATAAAAAAATAAATAAATAAAAATATAATAAATAAATTAAATTAATAAAAAATATTAATAGATTAAAAATAATGAAATAAAATTAAAGCAAGCGAATTTGTGTTCAATAAAATAGAATTATAAATAATTAAAACTTAAATTTAAAAAATTAACATTTTAAGAACAAAAAAATAAAACAAAATTAAATTAATATAAAATAAGAAAATAGAAACTTGTTTGAGGTCAATAAAAACACAACATTGGTTTGTTGAGTTAAACCAAAAAATTTGTTGCCAAATACCATAAAATAATAAAATTTAAGAAATAGTTAAATTAAATGAAATGAAGTGAATTTATATTAAATAAAAATAAAAAAATATAATTTAAAAGCAAAATAAAATATATTTCATTTTGTTTTAAATTAAATTAAATAAAAATAAAATTTTTAATTTTGTTTTAAATTATAAGAAAAAAAAAATAAAATATTAATTTTAATTATTTGAAACATGAAATAAATAGTCCTGTACTGTTTCACCTAATTTATGCTATAAGAATAATGGGAAAAAATGTTAAACAGGAAATTTTTCCTTTTAATTAATCGAGTTGACACATGCATGCGTGCAGATTCATTGATTTTCTACACTGCACAGCGTATAATTCCATTATTAACCAATTGTCGCATTGCGACGTACGCACTTTTTTCCAAACAACAAATGAAATTCAGCAATTATTTTGTATTAAGCCTGATTTATTATTCACTTAAATTTAACATTGATTTATTTATATTTTTCGCCATATTTTCATATCAACCTTGCTCTTTATTAAACATTTAATGCAGCTATAATGCCACACTAATGATTTAATCTCACTACAGAAATCTCAACATTTTGTAACAAAATTTATGTATTTATTAGATTAACTTTTGTAATAAAAAAAAAATTAAAACAAAATAAAATGTATGTAAATAGAGCATACGCATAACGTGTATAACATGATTTTTAATTGTAAATTTTTATGATTTTTATTTTTTTTAATTTTATTTTTAAAGATATACATATGTAGCTGCTTAAGTATATAAAACAAGAAGTAAACTAAAATATAAAAGAAACAAAATGTTTTGCACAATTTTTGTTTTAAATTTACGCAAAGAGGTCGAGCAAATTAAAGTTCTAAAATTTAACGAATTCACAATTCATGATCAGCGGCGTTTCTAGCTTAGATCTTCGCAATTTGACCATAGATTTTTAAATGAATATTTTATATATTGATTCACTATATTTGTTGCCTTGTTGCTTAATTTTTTGTTGCCATTTGTTTTTTGTTTATATATATATATAAATTTTTGATTTCCTTTAGCATCTTTCTACTCTGCTTTGCTTATATATTTTGGTTAAAACACTATACTTTTCTACTCACTTTCACATTCAAGTTGAAATACAAAATATATATATATACTTTATTATTTTATTTCTAGTATATTAATATTCCATGTATGTATAACTAGCTTTGTTTTGGGGCACTATGCACTCTAATGCAATAACATGCGACCTCCTAATGATTGCTATCGCCACCTATATTGCCATTTTGCTGTTGGCGCACCGAACGTCTTCGCGTCATTATGCGTAACGCAACACCGCCCGCATTACCGGCATCAATAGCCGATTCATCTATCGTCATACCACTGGGGTGCTCCTCATTCGCCATGCCAACCACCGCATTATCCACAATGCTTAAAGGATCAACTGCGGGTGTGCCAGCACCGGCAATGATACCTCCACCAGCCACCAACATCTGTTGTGCGTTACCGATACCAGTAATACCATTGCCGCCGGCTTCATACTCATTCAAATCATTTGTTTGCACCGAGGTGCGACGCAGCTTGGACTTCTTTGGTGGCAACGTACGCGGCGCCGTTACATGTGTTGGTGTAACGGGTGCTATTACAACGCTTTCAATGGCATTCACATCATTGCAATCAAAACCTCTTTTGCGTGCAGCGAGTGTGCGCAGCATGGCACCACCTGCGGCTGTTGCAACTGGTGATGCTGCATTGAAGGAATTCATGTTATTCTGACCTTCAGTTTCCAAAATTGTCTTGACAGCCATCGTATTTGCCAGCGGCGGTTGTTGTTCTTCGGTGCCGTTATAAAAATCTTGGTTTGTTGAATAGTTACGGAGACAGGCATTTTCGTCAATGGTCTCCAGCGGATGCGTTGGTGCGTATTTTAATTCATTAGCAATTGTATTGGTATTGTGTAGTGGTGGTGGTGGTAGGACATTAGCGTTGGCGCTATAGGGTATGGCACAGGTTTCAGTAGTATTCAATGGGATGTTGCCGGTGGGCGGGGTAACGCCATTGTGGCTAGTGTGTAATATTTGTGGGGAACTGGCATCGTTGGTTTCGGCATCAGCGGACTTGACATTTTCTTCATTATCCAAATTACCAGTTTTCAATTGATAATTATCCTTTTCTAATGTCTGTATGCGATCTCGAGTGGTTTTCAGTTCTTGTTGAAGGAATAAAATTGTACTTTGCATACCTTCAACATCCTCATCCAGTTCGGGTAGAAAATCGTCGACCTCTGCAAGAGTAAATTATAAAATTTGGTAAAAAAAAATAGAATAGAATTTTTCAGATTTCTTACCAGATTGTGACTTCTTTACTTCCTCGCAAAAACTCTTTTGCATTGCTAATTCAGTCTCTAGTTTGGCTAAACGGCCGTTGGAGGTCATTTTACCCAGTTCCTCGTTTTCCTGAAACAGTAAAAAAAAAAATGCCAATTAATAAATGTCATAGAATATTGTCTCCAGAATATCCATACCTGATATAACAAACGGCACTTTGCAATCAAACGTTTGCCTGTGTTCGAATCTGGCGTAAATTTCCATGCGGACAATTCGTTTTGTGTTTCTTCCAACTTTGCTTTGGTGGCTTTCAATTCTTTCTTAAGCTTCTCAAAAAGCAAATTAACAGCAGGATCTAGCAGAGCGGAGCGTAAAGCCAAAGCAGTTGGTGCTTGCGCTGCTTTGTATTCGGCGATTTGGCTCTGAAATATATTTAGATTTTGGGTTAATTTAAATTTTGAATATTTTTAATAATCAGCTTCAACTTACCACATAATCTTGAAATTCTTGTTCCTTATTGGTCAAACGGCGCATGAGTATTTTCTCTCGCCGTTGTGCATCCACACATTGCTGCGATAGGCGCGTCTGTTCCAACTTGAGGTTCTCAATTTCATCTATATTAGCGGCGAAAATTATCATAAGTACTTAATAGGTTTTTACTTTTGATTTTCTTATATAAAACAACATATACTAATTAGACATATTTAAATGTATAAGTATCAGCAAAATATGTATGTGAGATGAAAAATGTGTACATTTCTTGGAAAATAGAACATAAATTGTATACATAACATATGTACATACATTATATGAACAAGTTATAATAAATAATTATGTACATTTTTTTGGTTTTTTTTTTTTTTGTTTTTGCTAAATGGAACTTAATACGAAATCATACCAATACTGGGTGCAACAAGTTGCGTTTGAATGCGCATTGCCGCACGTTACGTGAATTTCGAGTTGGCATTTTGGTTTTCTGAGTGTGTTGACTCTGCAAGTTGTTGCTTTCGATACGCTGTTGTTGTGTAAGGATATATATATCTTGAGAGACGGTCAGCTCAGTGTTGAGGGATGTCAAAACAGACCATTCAAATCTGATCGTATCGTTTTGTATGTATATTGCGACGCAAATTGAACGCCAATATTAATTTTTTGTTCAAACATAAGCATTTTAGAAAAACTAATCTGCTTAACATTATTTATGACTTATTTTTCGCAATACACAAACACAAGCAACGAACTCTAATTTTTATTCTTCAATTTACGCGCACAACCAGCACTGCATTTTATTTTCAAAACAGTTAATTTCTATGTGCCAAAGAAGGATACGTATATATACAAATTTATATATATTTAATATAATTCAATTTGAATGCAATGCATTTTGATTTCCATCCTCAAATGCCAACCGCGCACAAATTTGCAATAAAAACACATGTATTTTTGTAATTATACTATTTAGATTTATTTTTTTTAAAGCACAATTACATCGACAACTAACACTCTTTTCTGACGTTTACAGATAATACCGGTAACTTCACATTTCAGACTATTTACAATGTTTATGAAAATTTACAATAAATTTTTTTTTAATATTTATCTGTGTTTCACAGAGAAAACTTTTAAAAAATTTAGAAACTTCTGAAATAAACTGGTTTTACACCTTGAAAAGCCAGTTTATTAAAAATTCCTTAAATAAATAAAAGTTTTCTGTGCCAACACAACCAATCGGTGCGATTTCCGTAGTTTCTTCCACATTTTTACCATATATTTTACAGGCACTCAATAGCGTTTTACAACACAAACACTTGCCCGCCATATATCAGCCTTCTGCTATTTTATCAGGCTTGCTATAAAGTTTCATAATATTTTTTACATGTAGCATCAAATAAATTTAAATTTGATATTTGATTTGATTATTAGCTTATTAGCAAATGCACATTTCATCGTAACACTATATTTATTTATAGTTTTCCTTTGCTATTAATTGGCAAAGCATAGCACTTTTTTTTTTTTTTGCTAAAAGCCTCTTTTTTATTTTTTATTAATAACGGATTTTCAAAACTGCTTGATTGAAATTGAATACAACAGGATAAAATTATAATAATATAGGATTCAACGTGGGTGTGGCTGGAGCACAAAGGGACGAAATGCTGTACACTAGCATGGAAGTGAGCACACGAAGTGGAAAACACCGATAACGATGTTGAGAAACGATGACGGTTGTATTCTATTTAACTTATACTTGTTGTTGTTATCTTTGGCAAAATCGTAATTTTTGTAGATATTATATATTATTGCGATATGTTGTATACAATACATATAGCCTTTTTTATATAAAATGCTCTCAACACACTTAAAACTAATTTAGAATTTTTTTTCTTGCCGGTGAACACTTTGGCTTTACATTTATTTGCATATATGTACTGTCCAAACTTTTGTACAAATCTTTTATTAATCACATTATATTTTAGTTCATTTGCCTCTTTTATCTTTTTGCTTTTATCTTTCACAGTTTTTTTTTTCACTGGTTTTGTTGTAATAAGCATTTTTATATCACTATAAATGATTGCCGTCCATAGCGAGACTTGCAAGATCGCAAAAACCTCTTTTCCAATTATAAAACAACTCACAATTCACTCTTATAAACTAAATTAAATTAAATCCAAATAAAACGTTCTGAAATAGTCAAAAAGAGTGTTCGCTGTTCGATTTAGCTCTTAAGTTTCTCATAAGCAGTCATTACACACGCTCCACATCATACACTTCGTATTTTCCGCACTTACCACAAGTTTAGCTTAAACCCAACTAGTCCATAATTTATGGATTAGTGTCACAGCTGGCTAACTTGCATCGAGTATTGGTCTATAGAACTTTCGTAATGTACACAATTTTTGTACAAAAAAAAATTGACAGTTAAATAAGAAATCAAAATAAAAGTACACTATTTGCTATTAAAAATATACAAAAAAAAAACTATTTTGGAAAATAAAACATGTTTTCAACACACACCGAATATTTTAGTATAAGTTCAGTATTTTCATACTTCGTCTTTCTTCAATTTATTTCTAGTTTTTTACTATTAAATTTTTTTAGTCAATATATACCTTCGAGCAAGCGTTGACGATGTTCGGCAGCAGCAACAGCCTCAGCAACAGTGCCTGGCTGTTGTTGCTGCTGTTGTAATTGCTGCTGTTGTTGTTGTGCCTGATGATGCTGGCTATGATGATGCATGTGTTGTTGTTGCTGAGTTGGCGGCGGCGATGGTGGCTGATGTTCCGCAGCAGTCATATGTGCCACATGCTGGTGCATATGGCGTGAATGATGATGGTGATGATGATGAGAATGATGATGATGTGCATGGTGGTATTGATGTGATGGCTCTTCACTACCGGATGGCGTTGGCGAGGCTGGTCCAGATGGTGGTGCTCCGCCAGTACCAATACCGTGGCCACCACCCCCACCACCTACTCCGGTATTATTACCATGAATATTTTGTTCATATTGTTTCGACATTTTATCGTAAGTGTTCATCAAAGGTCTTTGATCGTCCATAGTCATTGCAGCGACACTCATTACAATATAATAGGCAAATACTTGGCCACAAAACTAGTTTATATAAGTTTTTAAATTTTTCTTTGATAAACTATTTGCTTCAAAGCTGAAGCTTCTAATAACGATTTACACCGCACCTTTGTCGTGATTGCTTTTTACAAACTAAACACGCCACGCAGCAGCACGTATGCCTTGCGCGTTTGTTTGGCTTTTTTTCACAAGCTGCTTCCGCTGCTAACTCTCCTTTCTCTTCTTTGGAACACTTTATTTCTTTCTTTCTCTCTTTCTTTCCTCCTCTGTGCTACTTTTCTATGCTCATATAACTTTTTAATTGCCTATATATTCTTCTTCCACTTTTGTGTGAAATATATATGTAAAGAAAACTTTTGGTTAGCGCTCCGCTGGTTACAATTTTTCACTACCAATTTTCACGCACTTTTCGCCTTTTCCGCTACTTACTTTTAACACTTTCGTATTAAATGTTTATTCAAATCAACTTTTTTAATATTTTATTAGGAAAATTATCACTTTTTCAAGTTGAAATATTCAATTTTCTACGCAGCGAGGTCTAGTCGCGTCACAAATCTGCTATATGAAAATTCAATATGGACGTCTTTCACCTTGTGGTCATGAGCCAGAACGAGATAAACATATGTCGCTAGACGAAGGAATAATGAAAAATGGCGATACTCATAAACGTTGAGCAAGGTTGCTTTTGATTTTAAATATATTTAGTTAGTTTGTTGCATGTAATTTATGTATTTAGTATATTTAGACTGGGTTTATATAAAAAATATAAAAAGCGGCCATCTTCGACAAAAATGTATGGATTTATTCATTATGAATTTATTGCTAATTAGAAAGAACTTAATTAGATGTCAACACCCAAAAATCCAAAATTCCTCAAAAGCATTACAAGAAAAATCCTCTGAAATTTTCAAACTGTCAAATGGTTTTACATTATTTAGTAAACAACGCACATTGTGTACAAATTCATTTCTTTGCAGGACTATGAATGAGAAAAAGGTGCAAATAAACAAACGCGGTAAAGGACGCGTAAGCCGTGATGAAATACAAAACTGGACTAAAGAGCAGCTCATAGCGAAGGTTTTACAATTAGACGCATACAATTTTCAAATAAGAAATTTGCTACAAAAGAAATTGGGGCAAAATGATAGTGAAATCTATGAACATCTTGCCGAGTTGGAGACTAATGAGGTGACATCTGTAGAAAATGTTCCCAAAGCACTGCCTCAAACAAATAGAAAAACACCAAAACGTAAATTTGACTTTCAGAAGTAAGTAAAGAGAAAAATTCGTATGGGCTTTTTCTAATAAATGACCAAATTATAGGAGTCACAAACGACACGTGTTGATAAAACTACTTTATTTTGGTTGGAATTATCACGGTTTGGCAGTTCAGGAAGACTCGAATGACACAATAGGTAAAACCGCTAACAATTTCAAACATATTACATTTTATTCATGTTACATTCCTCGCAGAGCACCACTTATTCCAAGCGCTTATACGCACCTGTCTAATTGAGTCGCGAGAGTCAGCTAACTACCATCGCTGTGGACGCACAGATAAGGAAGTGAGTGCCTTCTCTCAAGTTATATCTATAGACTTACGTAGTAAATATCCACCAGAAGAGCAGCATACTAGCGAAGCCTTGGCTAATGAAGTAGAGTACTGTACGCTACTGAATCGTGTACTACCGCGGAATATTCAAGCTGTGGCATGGATGCCGCTGCGTAGTCCTGTATATAGTGCACGTTTCGATTGTATTGGACGTACATATAGGTATTACTTCCCAAAAGGCGATTTATGTATAAAATCTATGCAAAATGGTTGTGAATATCTGGCGAGACATACAGATTTTCGAAATTTCTGTAAAATGGATGTTAATAATGGCGTGACAAATTATATAAGACAAATATTCAAGGCTAGTGTGCAAAGGTGTGCAGTTGAACAAGAATCTAAGGATGTTGAGGACGGTATACTAAAAGCAAAAAAGAGTTGTTTTGAAATATTTCTTTATTATTTTTTTAAATTTAATCAGCTTATGCCATGTATATGCTGGAAATTAGAGCAAACGCCTTTCTTTGGCATCAAATACGTTGCATCATGGCTGTATTGTTGCTCATTGGGGAAGGCAAAGAGCAACCGGAAGTTATTAATGAGTTGCTAAATGTAGAGAAGAACCCATGGTTAGTTATACGTAGAAAAAATTAAAATATTTTTTAAACAAACATTCCTTACATTAGCAAACCACAATACACGCCCGCCATTGGTATGCCTTTAAATCTGTTTCATTGTGAATTTCGCAAGCATACCATTCAACCTGCGGATAGTGGGAAATCCAATAATATTGGTAATATTGGTAACGACATTGATACTGGAGAAAGTGCAGAGGAGCACACCTCTAATTGGATATATGGTGATGAGCATTTGCAAAAGCTTATCGAAGCTGTGCAAGGTGAATGGATGCAGTACAATATTAAGTAAATTTATCTTCCTATAAATCTATATCTATTAAACGAAATTTTTCTGTTTGCAGAAGCACTATGATACGAGATATTCTACACCAGTTAGAAAGTATACGCCAAAAGGAGAATGTGTCATCAGCACCTGTGCGCGCTCAGGCTTGGCTGCTGCAAGACGGTGTACGTCCACGCCAATATCAAGAACTTTTAAATCGAAAACGTTGTGGTAATTAAATAATATTAATATAATATACAAAATTCTCGTGTAAAAATGATATTCATTTAGTTAATTTTTTTCTTACAGAAAGTTTGGAAAATCGCATTCAACACTTTGTTAAGAAGCAACGGTTAATTGTTACGAATGAGCCGGCATAGGATTCTAATTTGTTTTCTGAAAATGATTAATTTTTTAATATTCTAATAAACTGATTTTGTATATATTAGAAAAACTGATAATATGTTTTATTTAATTATATGAAACGTAAAAAATAGACTTAATATATACAAACGTATGTAATTATGTAGTGGCATGATTTTTTATTTATGGGTCAAAATTTCTATAATACGGTACTAGGCCCATACAGAACAAACAAATGTTTTTGAGTGTGCCAATAAATAGTTTAGCCAAATATAAATCACAATCCATATATGTAATTAGGTTTATCTAATCTACATTTATTTAATACAATAATCCTCACTATCAATTCAATATATTGCCTAAAAAGATAGGAGGCAAAGATAAAAGAAAGTATGTTTCCATTAACAATATTTTAATAATAATTTGTATATTTGTACACAGACATGTGTTTATATTAATACATTGTAGGAGCTTTTACTAGTCATCCGCCATTCATTCAAGTTATACTGTCAATTCAACTAGCCAAGCATGCGCTATATTGCTCGCGATCAACGCTTTTTCAGTAGCTTTTTATGCATTGTACATATACTAAATAACCGAACTAATTCCATAGCTGATAATTCGATTTGAATTTGAATGGTTAACACAGTATTTAGTTGAATTTTTGCGCTTGAAATGCGCGGTTGAGTTTTGTGCAATTTTCCTAATACATACATACAACCAAGTAATTCGCTACGTATTGGTGTTAATTTATATTCTGCATTACTTGACACAAAAACCAACAACTCAAACGAGGTGTGCAGAATTTTTTACATTTATGTACATATAATTAAAACATAAATGAAAAAGCAATAAATACGTACGTGGAAAGTGTGACGTTGAATAAATTTGAATTGTATGAAATTGTAAAACTGCCGCTAAAATTGCCACAATATGAGTTCGTTTGGTCGCGCATCCTTTTCCCTGCGCCATAATTTGCTGTACGCCTTATTGCTTTGCATTGCAGTTACCGCTTACGAGGAAAACGATAAATTTTGCATACGCACACAACCAATGCTGTTGGCAGATATTGAGAAACATATTAACCCTTTAGAGGGTGATCCGAATTGCAGAGTGCTGGCCACAACGCTGACAGTAAAGGAAAAGGTAAGTGTAGTGTTATTTTTTTTTTTTGAGGATATTTAGATGATAAATAAAAAATAGTCAGAGCTTTGTTTATTGAAATAATATATTATGTATAACTTTATTTATTTTGAATCTTATATTCAGCAATGTGTTTCCGTTTTAAAATGGAGTTAAAATTATAATTTCCTTTCTTTGCATTTCCGTTATAAATTGGCGCTACCATATGCACAGAGTTGTTTAGTAGGGATTTTCTGTAAGGATATAAATAACAAAAAATTAAAAAAAAGTTGCAGAAAACTTCTAATTATTATTGCACTAAATAGGCAATAACTAAATGGTGGCGCACGATATCCATTAATACTTAATAACAAAAATCGGATTAAGCATTACATATATCTTAAATTAAGCTTCGTTTCAGATTGACGTTTCCAAGACCAAGCTGTTTAAAATCAGGCAACATTGACGTAAAGAGCTCGTCTAATTTCTTTATTTTTTTATATTTTCTACCTCCAGTTTCAGAGGCAAACGCATAAAAGTGAAAAGCCATTAAATTAGACTGTTTGTTACAATTAGAGAAAAGCTGGGGGAAACAAATTGCTATAGATATTAGCATCCAAAAGTTAACTATTACACTAATTAAGAAATTAAACTACTGACTAAAAAAAAACACACACACACATTTCTTTAAAAAGCATAAGGTTACCAGACGAGTTTTACTATTCAATGACCCCACAATGCATATTGAAGCTAAATGAAATGTTCCAGCGCAACTATTGTAAATTACCTCACACCAACCAAAAATAGATGTCTCATTGACAAGAATAAACCAAAAATGGTAAAAAACATGACATAGAAATGAGTATGTTTAGTGTTTGCATAAATGTATATTTGTATGTGTGTACATCTGGACATGAATATTTTAAATTGTGCATGCAAAGAGTTTTGTATGTACATATGTACATATGTGGTACATGCGCCAGTGCAACAATGCAATTGATAATAAATCTAAAAAAATTGAAAAATGCGATCATCGCCACTTGAGTTGAAAACAAGTTTTCTTAGCAATGAAAATGTCAAATAACTATAATTTACTATGTGCTCAAAACATAATAAAAAACAAATAAAAAATCGCGATTTAAAAGCTATGATGGATGTGTGTCACATATAGCATATATGTACGTACATGCATAAATTTCTGATTGAGTTTCCATATCCGTAGCTATAAATTCAGGCGACTTTTTTTTTTTAGCTGCAAAATAGACCAAATATTGAAAAGAAAACATTTAATTTTTAACCACACATTAAAATATGACGTACTTTGCATGCATACATATATGTGTACATATGTATTTTTAATACATTAAATGCTGTTAAATTTTTTTAACTTTCCCTCTTTTCTTAAATCATTATTATACCATTGAGAGTTATCAACTAGGAGTTAAATTTAATATTTAAATTTAAAATTTAAAATGTTGTCTGGAGCGCCTAGAAAAAAAAGCAAGCCAACAGCAGCTTAACTATTTTTTATAGAAAATTTTAAGGTTAGAATATTTTTAGGTTAGTTCAGTTTCAACCTACCACGTGTTCTTACACTTAGACAGTATTTTAAAGAAATAAAGATTTTAAATACTACTTATTTGCCAACCGCAATCCAGGGCAATTACGTACAGTTATTTTTAAGACCTTCGCTTTAAGCATTTTCTTCCTTTTTATTACTCAAAATGCCGTCCTTATACCATAAATAAATATGTTCCGAGTATTTTGGTATATTGTCTGCAAAAATTAATTGCCATCACTTCATTATGATTTTGGCTGATATACATTCATACATACTTGTCAATTAATGGGATTTAAGTGCATTACTTGAAAAACGTCAAATGGCAATAATGATAAGAAAATCACTTCAAAACTAAGTATATGATTTTAAAAGTATTATAAAGGGAAATGCCGTTATCTTCAAATGCGTGGGATATTCCAAATTGTACAATATACATTCATACACACATATTAGCACCACAAAGCGTTAAAAAATACACACGGTTATTGATAAACAGCTGATTGGTGCTTAATAATTTATGGTCACGATATTTATTTACATTTTTTGTTTGTTTTACTTGTATGTTTTGTTTATGTTATATAAATTTATGAAAAAATAACAGTTCTTTGCTTTATTTATATCCAAATTTTTTTAGATCTTTATCTTGTTTTTCTTTTAAAAGTTACCGGAATCCAAGGCGAATTCATGAAAGTGACAGCCTGAAACAAAATAACGGTGATTTCATAAGCTTGTAGACAAACTCTTCTTTCTTTGTTGAAACCACATGTACAAAATCAAAATTTTGAATATTTTGACGTTTTTAAATAGAAAATCGAATGAAAATACTTAAAGCAAAACACAAATCAAAAATTATTTGCGCAATCTCTACACTGAATCGAGTTGAATGAATGAAAAGTGAAATTCGCGGCTATAATACCAAAGCGAATTCATGGAGGTGAAATGCTAGAGATTGTCAAAATCATGGAAACTCATTTTTTTCGCACGAAACACAAACACAAAATTATGATTCTCAAGATTTTCAAGTTTAATAACTGAAAAAAAAAATTTTTCGTTGGCTTAGTAACTTCGCCTTGGCAAATACTGAGAGTAATTTATATTAGTATTTCGAAATGCTTGAAGAGCAAGGCGAATTAACATATATGTATATGCGTATATTTATATTTTGTTAAAATACTTAAGTTACCAAAGTACATGCGAATTAACTATCGTGTTGTTTAAATTTCAATCTTTCTTTTGCCTGCTGGCATTCTGGAAATCCAGCTGTCGATAAAAGAAGAAAATAGCTGTACTACCAACTCCATCTTATCCGAATTCACCATGTTTAATAAAATTTCAAATTTTGTACTAATTTATTTTTAAACAATTTTTCATAGCACATTCAAATCTATTTTTTTTCAGGAGAGTTTCACGGAGATCATGTGTAAGGATCACGGTACATCATATAAGGATAGTTATTATTTCTTTAAATTACGTAACGGTGAACTGCGTGGACGTGGTACACATAAAGAAATTTGTAATGGCATCACAAATCCGTTATTAGCTTGGGTGCCATACCACATGGTTTTGGAGAATTTCGCACAAGAATTGAATCCGAAAGAGGTAAGAAATATTCTATAATATAAATATATTAATATTGGCAATGACGTCACTGTAGCTGTCATGTGACAAAAAAGGTGGTAATATTGACACTTTCAATAGGAAGTTTTGCCAATAAATCCATGCTTGGGTTACGGCGAAAGATTACACTCATCTCTTTTATTTAACAGAAGAAAAAACAAAAAAAAAAAAAATCGTAATAAAATATTAAATAAATAGGCGTAGCTTTTATTTGTATAATCATTTGTATTTCATATAATTATTAACACTTCTTATGTGATTTATACGTAATTTATTAAGCTTGCGTCACACTTTGCCAGACAAATTTAAATTGATTATGTTAATTATTGCTGCATTCTACTCGAGCGTTTAGTTTGCTTACAATACATATTTACTACAATAAATGATCATTAACAAGGTTGACAATCAGCAGCAGAATCCACAAATTATAATTGTCATCATTTTGATTTTTGCAAAGTTTATTTTATTATTCATTTTATTGAATTATATTTGGCATTTTATTGAGTATATTTGGCGCTTTGTAACCGCTGAAAGCGATTTTTCGGCCGAGCTTCTCCTCCAATTTGTGGTTTTGCGTGTTGATTTTCCAACAAATGGAGGGTCCTAGAGTTTATACTAAGCCGCCTCCGAACGGCTCATGGTTTTTTATGAGGAGCCTTTATTTCATGACCGAAATACACTCGAAGGGGTGGCAATTCCCTGCCGAGAATATGTAAACTAATTTCCAATAACTTTTTGCATGTTGCTGGCACCGGGAGATGAACCCAGGCCTTCCGAATGTCCGTACGCAACGCTAACCACTCGGCTACTGCGACCGCTAACAAACTGTCTGAAGAAGTGAAATTTTGAGCAGAAAAACTACAGGGTTATCCATTTTGCGATTTTGGAAATAAACGTAAAAAAAAATGCGTTTAAAATATATATTTTTTTTAAATTCAAATTCCCCTTCTATTATAAAGTTTTAACCTTGGCATTATATAATATGTGAAACACTACATAATTTATATGATCGCCCCACAAAGTTTTGAAAACTTCGAACCGTTTGAGGTATTTTCCGAAATCTGGTACGTGTTAGGCGAATCCTGGTTTTCTAGTGCTCAAAAGTTAAAGGTTTATCCGGTCTTTCGTGTAGCCCCACCACAAAAAAAAGTTCAATGGTATCAAGTCGCACGATCTCGGTGGATAATTTACATTGCCAAGATGAGAGATAACGCAGCCTGGAAATTTCTCACGCAATAAAGCCACATTCGCCCGGCTTGTATAGCACGCGGCACCATCTTGTTGAAACTAAAAATTGTCCAAGTCATGTTCTTCAATTGAAGGGCAGAAAAACTCGTTTATCATACGACCACAACGCCTCAAATCGCCAATGACAGTCCCGCCGTTGTCGTGGGCCAGTCTTTCAGTGGCCACTGCACTGCACTTTTCGGTCGACAGAACCAAAAGCTAGGTGATGCGCCGCTTGTTGTCGAGCTGTCATACAGCAACGCGACACTCGATTTCGCTTGGATAGTGGTTTAGTGGGTTAGCGGAAAGACTAAAGCCTCTAAATTTATCGGTCCGACGTAAAAGTCGTGCTGAAATATCTGGACACAGCGCGAGTGTTACAATACGTCTACTGAAATTGAGAAAACCAGCCAACAAAACAGATCCCTATCAACCGATATCTCTCCTCTTTTCAGTAGTGTTAGTTCAGAGCACCAACCCAACTTCCATCCACTATGAGCCTAGCAGTAAATCAACATGGCTTATATGGAAGCTATAGTTGACTCTCCACCCAAACTGTCCTGGTACCACTGAACTTATCTTGAAAGTCTTTCACACAGTCAAATCATATGGTGCTACAATCTACAAGACAATCGGTCGGCTGGTCATATGAAGCCACAGGCTTTGCAGAAAACCTCCTTGATGAAGACCTCTTGATGTCGTCTGTACATCACTTGCAGAGGAAGCTATTCAAGTCTGCCAACCTCCTCTTAATTCTTGGAATACAACCAACGCAGTGTGAGCTGTCTCGTGGATACGGTTTTTTCTAGATGAACCCCAACATACTCAAAGTATCTCCTGCATGCAATGTGACTAGTCCTTCTCTTCCCTCATCATTGCTGCAGCTCTTTCGTCAACTTCTGAAAGGGGTCACTGCGCGCCGTCCTATAAGGCAATGCAATGTCAGAATCTTTCTTTTTTCGAAGAGTAAAGCCATACGACCTTCTTCGGGCTCACTCCTTCCAATTTTGATTCGACTTTCGACAGAGCAAGTTTTATTAGTCATACTGACCAGTGACTCAAATAAGAAATAGTCTGTTTTGTTCGGCCATCTCTTAAGAAGATCTGGAACATTGCAAAGAGTTTACCATGATCGAGCTCAGAGCTCTTACTGCTAACTGGCTGTCGATGAAGATAGAGATGTCTCTGCGTGAGTATACAGTTTCTCAAATACGTTAAGTTTAGCTAGTTTTAAGACAGAGTAGGAATAACTTGAGTCCTTCATCTTAGGAAAAATTCTGCAATAGGGACTACTGTGGGCTAACTTTTGTGGGCACAATAAAAAATATTTTTATCAATTAAAGTTCATGTTTTGTAATCCACCTTTCAGCATCTCAGCTATATTGGCAAGGCAACCGATGTAGAGCGCGAAAAGACAGAGCTCTGCCACTTCAGTCACACGGATCTCGTGACAAACATCACATCCGACCTTTTTGCATGCATAGTAATGATCTTCGAGGATAACTTTGTAAGCATAGATATAACAAACCAATTCCACAAATTCCCATTAATACCACAATTTCCACCCACCCAGTATGGTCAAGATGCCAATATCAATGTGCTGGTCGAAATAGAGCCACTCATGTACGAATTACGTAATATCACTTACCTACCATGGGCCAACGTATCGACGAGCTACAAAACCCTGTTGGATCGCACAACACTAAACAATCCCAACAGTGAACCGAAACAAATTTACGGCAGTGTAAAGTACGGATTCATCGAGAAGGTGCACGTTAATGTAAGCTCCATATACAATCAAAATTTAGACCATTTACCGTTATTGTTCGAACATGCCGGTGCAGTGTTGGAGCTAAACGACTTGGGTATTGGTGGCGTGGATGTGCAAACGGTAAGAAAAAATATTTTTCCAAATTATCTGTCACCTGTTGATGACAGGCATGGAATTTTGTATTTCACTCAATAGAAAGCTTACTTCGGTCGTTTTATGGACGCACGCACCTCGGTCAAAGTGGAAGTGATCGGTCAGTGGGCCGAACATCGTCAACAGTTCAATGCGGATGTCTATGACTATTATGGTTATGGCATTAAACGTTTACGCAACGAAATACACCGTGGCGAGGTAACGTTTACACGCATCGAGAGCACGGAACCGGTTTTCGAGACACCTGACTCTACACATCTTACAAGCAGTTCTCTCCATCTATTGGGCGGTCAGAAATTCGAACGCTTGGAGATGGCTGAAAATGTGACAATATCGCCGGAGTGGGACACAGATGCTTACTATAATGCCCATCCGTATCCGGGTTTCTATCCGTGGTTTGTTGGTGGTAGCATTGTAGTGGCTGTGGTGCTCTTGGCGGTTGTATTCAGTATGGTACGCATTTGGAGTAAGAAAGAGGAGAAGAGACTTTACAAATTGGCCGCATCCAGTGCTTGAGTTGAGGAGAGCGGATGGATGTTGGAGGGAGAGGAGGAAAAAAGAAATAATGATATAATATTATGCGTGGAGCGCAGCGAATTGTTTTCTGTTATTTAATAATAGTATTATCGAAGATATTAATCAATGACATACATACCTACATATATTTGTACTTTCATATGTGTGCTGGAAGAATCTGAGTATTTTAAGAAGAAAGTGTAAAAACCTTTATATTTCCAATAAACTTTTGTTCGAATAGTTGTTGTTGTTATTTTTATTTTTATTTTTAGAAGCTAGAGGTGTAGAAAGCCAATTGCATATAGCACGTACGTTGAGTATGATGAGATGGAGTCTGTCTAGACCTTAGTTCTCAGTACCACATTTGTCTCACGAGGTGATTCAAGCTCTGCGTCTGTTATGGGTGGCGGCTATATTCCGGTTACGCTATTCACTGAGCGAGAGTTGAGGGTGCTATGGTAGTACACAATGTAAATTTTAACTGACTGTTCTGGAGTCCGAATTGCAGCTCCTCCATTTTCGTTCAGCTAGTTCCTGGCCTCAGTGGCATAAGAGATCAGGTAGACACCCGACGGTGGTGGGGGAGCTTCGATTAATTCAAAATTAATAAATATACGAGGCAGGAGGTCTGCATAACCCCATGCCTAGTTTTCTTCAATTTGGAGTTGAAACTCGAAACTCTGACGATGGCTGCACATCACTAATGCAACTTGTAGTCCACCACTTCAACCGCGATCCTCTTCAACCGCGATCCGATTGAATGTATGTTCTACAAGGATCGGGAGATGACTAAATAACGAGGTCAGCAAGGATGAAAATGCCTTTCCCTACTAGGAAGAGTAGAAATATGGGACAATATGACTCCTCTGAGTTGGCAGATAACCCGTGTTTTAGTAGTAGGTCTCCCCACCCAGTCGGGTTAGGCTGGTGCGATCAGAGACCGATGGAGGATCTGGTTGAGAAACTTTACTTTCACCAAGACTAGGTGCTTGATAATAAGCCTGCCTGTATCGTCTGGGCCAATGGGCTCAACGGATTTTTGCTTCGCGATAACCTTCTAAACTTCCTCTATAGAAATAAGAAACGCTGTTGTTTAGCAATTTGTATACACGGAGGGTCACTTGTCGTTGCGTCCCGTTCTACGAAGGGTTTATAATGGTGAGAAGTCGGCTCAAGTAGCTTGTACATTTTACCGAGACTGACGAGGCAAGATCAATGAATGATAGAAGGTAGGGGATCAAGAATTTTCACGTGGCAAGGCGTGATTATGGTATTTAGTCTGTTATAGTTGCGGCACTATACTCAATTTCTACTCTTGTGTCCACAACGCGTATCCTGGCAACCTAAGCATCCCTTGTGCAAGATGTGTTACCCACCCGCATGAAGCCTTGGGTCACGGCGAAAGGAGAGGAAGTTTCAATGGAGCCACTTCGACTTATTAGGTTAAAGGGTTCGCTGAAGTCTAAGTGCAGCGTTTGTTCATCTGAGGTAGGAGGCGAAACAACAACGAATGCTGTTTCCCTCGGTCATTGACTATCGTCGGGAGAGGGACAGAGTTTTAAAAAGTGACCTAAAGATCGGTTATTGACTCTCGTCGTAAGTTGGACAGAATTTTAAAAGTGGCCTAAAGTTTGCATGCATCGGAGTCTTCCAGCTCGGCGCTGGTGACTCAGGTATCGGAATCTCCAACACTGTCTGCTATTTAATATTTCAGTTTTCTTGTTAACTCTGTTATAGCCAGGGTAAATTTGATATTATTTTTTATTTGACCATTTTGTCTGAAAAACGATTATTTCATTTATTTTATCCCACTGTAGGGTTTAATCAGTCACATTTTTTTAAGTATGGCAGCACTACTAAAGCTTGACAGTGAAAAGCGCTAAAGAAAATCCTTCAGCATTCAACAATTTCAACATAAAGCTCCCTCTCACTCTCCGTCCCACTCGCTCCCATAAACTCATAAGCTGCAGGTCCTGTCGCCTATCCACCAATTTCAAGCAAAAATCTAACCATCATTGTCTCCTTTACATAAATATGAAATGAAAATATACACAAATTCCGCAACTACTACGGTTGTTGCTCCAATTCTAACTAGATTAAAACACCATCAGAAGAGTTGGTCCATTCCCATACAACCCCTATGTAATTTATAATTATTCTACACTACTCTTCTCGTTTGCCAACTCAGTTTCGTATCGGATTCCTTCAGCTTTCGATGTGACATTTCTGTTCTCTCTCGGTTCGCTTGTGGAAAAACATATATAAAAGAATTTTTCGCAAATTCACATAATATAAAATTGCTTTCCTCAGCCCCAACTCTTAAGCATAAACATAGTGTTTAAAACGTAAAATTTCCTTTTTTGATCATTTATATTACAAAAGCTTCTGGCAGTTATTTAGTAAATGCAGTAAATGAAAATATATATTTAAGTCGCGCAGTTGACCAGCTGGAAAAGTGTAAATGCTTAATTCATTGGCAATCTAGAATAGTAGGGAGGTGCGCGAATTTGTATATTTGTGCGAGTAAAAAATCAATTGCCATAAAATAGCAAGTGCCGATTGCGAGTGGGAGTGAGTGAAAAAGCTTTTAAGCAATCCGGATAAAAAGAGTCCACTCTAGTAAGAAAGCTTAATGTGCGACTGTCCTTCTCGGTAATTGAATGGTTTCCCTCTAACTCTAACTTGCGCCCAAATATGGATTTGAATTTTTGAAGTGACTTCGAATCTGGCATTCTGTTGTTGTCAGCTTGTTCAGTGCAGGTGAGTAGTTAACAATAACTGTGGTAGAAATAAAAAAAAATTGTCATCTAATATCGAAGTCTTTAAAATTTTAACGTTATACTATTTGCATAAATTTCTATATAAATACAAAAAATGTATGAGGAAAAACATAGCAAAATTATCTGGCAACATTTACAAAACAGCTGATAACAATCACCGATAAACGTAAATAAATCAGCCTTGAATATCTCTTTCGCACACTTGCGTGGCTCTGAAGGCCTTATATTTCGTGCTTGTTTTTGTGAAAGGGCGCATACCATAAGAGAAGAGTAGAAGAGTAAAAACTAGCGTAGCAACAACCACTGTCACAAGCGACACTACACCAACGACAATCGAATCGTCTTTCTTGCACGAAGTAGGCAACGCACGAACGAAACGAAACGAATTCATCGCACTGCATAGCAGCTGCGAACGGCGGCCATTGTAATTCACCGACGACAGAAGAAGACAAAAGCACGTATACAGTGTAATGCGCTAGACGGAAAAGAAATTTCAACTATATAGTAATAAAATTTTACTAAACAAAATCTAGTTATTTCGTTTTCTTACCGTGCCACACAAATGTTTTTGTAACGATTTATATTACAATAATAGTTTGTGGTTGTAACTATTATTGCGAATATTGTTTTGCAATTGCAATTAAATTGGTATATTAGATTTTTAAAGGAAAAGTGGAACGAACGGCTTGACTAGTGTCACCCATAAGTCATTGCTAGCCAAGCCAAAGTGAATTAGGTGACGTGAAGCATTTATATATATGTATATATTATATTTATCGCGAACTGGAACATTTTTAAATAAATAAGCACCATTTGCGGCAGGTAAGTACTTAGTAAATAAATAATATGAAAGTGCAAAGATTGTGTTAGCAAAATGTTGAATGCATTGTTAATAAAGCAAATCTTTTTTGCTTCCCACTCAGTTCGATTGATGCTGTCACATTTATAGTGTAGGGCAGTGGTATTAAAAATATTAAAATTATGTTACTTTTTGTTAGTGTGAAAATTTAGTGGTGTTGTTTTGTACTGCATTTCCTCTTCACGCGTGTCGCTATGCGTGCTTAGTAGAAATATTACCATCTCGTTTTTGCCTTCATGCGGCTTGCATTGTGTAGAATCCTATCGTTCGTTTTTTTACTCATATTCCATGTAGGGTAGTGCGTGCCCGCTCAACACCGTACTTAATATAATTTGTTTTTATTGTTTTTATTTACTTTAACAAATATGCGAAAATTAATCTAAATTTATGGGTGCATGATTATATCAAAGAGTTCACAATACGGTTATGAGTAACTTGGACGGAATATCAGTTTTATCTAATATATTTTATAATGCTCTATTTAAAGCAATGCATTCATTGTCCCATATCAGCTTGCTACTGATAAGCTTAAGCTGGGCTTTAGCTTTCAGCCGCTGCCAATAGCTGCCACTTTCTGCACTTATTTATTTATCAATTTATGTGATTGCTTAAATTCTAATCTACATTGTTTATAATAGGGGCTGTCATCAATTGTTCTACTAAATCATCTACACAACCGGAAGTTTCAATAAAGTCGCCACAAACATAAAATGGAACGCAAAAAAGTGCTCGAGCTGGATAAGATTTGTCGTGTCTGCATAGCAGAACGTAAAGATATGCGTCCGCTGTTTAGTGAGAAAATCGCAGAAATGCTAATGGAATGCGCTACTGTAAATATTGAAAATACCGAAGGCTGGCCGGATAAAATTTGCGTACAATGTGTGCATGCCGTATCGCGCTGCCATGCATTCAAGAGGCAAGTTGAACGCAGCGATAAAGAGCTGAGGGAGTATATCAAAAGTTTAACTGTGCGTGTGGTTATTGAAGATACAAATGAAATGAAGATGGATAAGTCACCGCAAAAAATATTGTCCCAGAAACCACCAAAATTACAATTGATACAGCCGCAGGCGCAATTTCAATTACAGACTCAGCAGAATCAATTACAGCTCCCGCAACAGCAAATAATTCTTCAACAGCAGCAACAACAACAACACCAACAAACTCAACAAGTGCAGCAATTACAATTGCAATCTCAACAGCAACCAACACAACAGCAGCAGCAGCCGACAATGAAACGTAAAGCCGTAAGTTCTACACGTAAAGCTCAGCGCGCGTCGAAAAAACCCCATCTATTACCACAGCCATTGCAACTACAACAACAACAACAGCAGCAGCAGCAACAACAACAGCATCAACAGCAGCAAACAATGGAACAAGTGTCAATGCAAACATTGACACCCACTGTCACGCCACCGCGTACGCAAACACACCAGCCGGCAACACATCATTTACAAGCAAACCCAGCGCCGCTACAGCAACAGCCGCAACCACAGCAACTGATTTCCACAACCGCCTTGCCACAACAAATTGTACTCCCTAATGGACAAATAATAACTACAGCGCAAATTGTCACACACGCCGGGCCACCGCAGATCGCCCAAATTATTAGCACGTCAAATGGTTCGACAGTACAAACAAACCCAGCACCAACAACCGTCACAACCCAGCCACATTTCACACCCCAGCTCATACAAACGTCCAGCGGTCAGACATTACAGCTAATCCAACAACCGAACGGACAACAAACATTACAGCTGGTTCAAGTATTGCCAAGAGCTTTAGCTACGAACACGAATGGTACAAGTGTAATGATGACAACTGCCGAAGATGGCACCACGACAATTGTCGACGACGACGCCTTAATTACGCCCGACGAACATCATCTAATCGATGACGAGCACGATATGGAAGAGGATGAGGAGCAAGAACAAATCTGTGAGACAATTGTGGTGGAAGATGATCAGCTGACGCATCAGCAGTTGCTTGCCAGCCATCATATTGTAGATGAGGATAATTTGTCACAAGAAGCACAAGAACTGGAATACCTTGAGGATGTAACAGTGACCACATCGAATGCAGGACATTCACACAATCAGCAAAATCATCATACCCAGCATTATCAGCAGTTAAGTGACTGTGATGGTGATGCCAGCCAGCAACATCATATGCAACTGCATGACGAAGACGATATTATTGAAGAAATACACATGGATGAAGAGGAAATGCTCGAAGATGATGGTACAGATGTAATGCACGTGATGGAAGCGGAAGGCAATGAATTTATTAGCGACCCTGACGATAGTAGCCAACAACATATGGTTAACGAGAATGGTGATCCCCTTCAGTATACGGTGATGGAGGCAGGCACAGATGATGACGAATTCGTTGAAACCGATGTGAAAGAGGTTATGCAAACAGCGTGCAGTTCAGATATGCAAACTGTTGTAGATTTTAATCAAACGGTCAGCAGTGTAGCAAGTGGAGGTAGTGGTGGTGGTGGTGGTGGTGGTGTTGGTGGCGGTGTCAGCGGTGCTTCTGTAGGTAGTCAAACACCAACGCCCAAGCGTAATCGCAAATCAAATTCAAAAGCGGTAGCAAATTCACGACAACTCGTTGCTACAGCCTCTTCTATAGCGACGTCAGGTGCACAGGAGGATTTAGAAATCGATCCTAAGTTTATAGCGGAAATCATAAGTCAACAAACCAGTTTACTTGATTCGGGACGTCATATGTGTAAATTGTGTCGTCATGAATTTAAGCAATACAAAGCTTTGCATAATCACATGCACCAACATTCGAATTGGATACGTGCGAATTGCAAGAAGCAACCGCAATGCGAAACCTGCTTCAAGAGTTTTAAAGGTCCAGGCATGTTAAAAATGCATATGAAGACACATCAATCGGCGGCGCGCACACCCACCTGCAATATCTGTAACAAAAGTTTCAAATCAAAAGCGATACTCTATCGCCACCGACAGACACATCAGTTGCGTTCATACGCGTGTGCTGTTGACAATTGTCGTAAAACCTTTTCGATGCCACAAACCCTGCGTACACACTCCGACAACAAACATGCCAACTCCCAACAGCCGCGTTTCAAATGCGGCGAGTGTGGTTTACACTTTGATGATGTGGATGTATTGCATACGCATGTGCAGACGGGTGTACATGGTGACGCTTTGACTCTGGAGAATGGCGATGGCGAAGGCAATGATGGTGCCGGTGGCTCTGGTGGTGGCGGTAGTATAGATGGCACGGCTTGTATGGATGGTAGTATGTCGGGCAACACAATAATTGTTGTTACGCAGGGTTAGTTGCGCCGTTGCTAAGCAGTTGACGCACTCTTTCGGTCTCTCTATCACAATACCAGTTTTGTAAATATGTATAATTGGTTTCCTGTTTGAACAAAAACAAAAATGCTTTCTCTATGTGCTAGATTTAGTGTTTGATTTGTTAAAAACAAGATCAACAAAATAACATTAGAATTAATTAAATTAAAAAAAAAATAAAAGTTAGGATTATTTTTTTTTAATAGCAACTATTATATTTAAATCTTGTATAGAAAAATAAATATGTATTTAATAAAGAAATCCATAGGAATGAAGGTAGAAATTATTTTTAAAAATATATACAAATAAATCGGAATTATTGAAATAACAAAAAATGCGAAATATTTAATAATAATAAATAGTAAGCCGTCGAATATCAAAATATATTCGAATCATTTGAATTTTATTAATATAAATGCATGTTCTAAATACATATAGGAGTACATTTGATGTTGATCGTGTAAATTACCCATCAGACAAGTAGCGCAAAAGACCTTAGCCTACCAATTTTCCAGAATCCCGGCCTTAGAACCCTAACAGGAACCCTCCGGATGCCGGCGGGGCATCACTTGATGTTACCGAAGAGAGGGAAGAGAGTACTAGGCTATAAGGACTTCATCTATCATCACGAACAAGTACTGCTCTACAGGACGACATAGCGACAGACTTTAAACATCGTTCACCGGGAGACCGTTAGCAATTTCGTAAGCTCTCTTCCAGTTAACGGTGTTCACGGAATACAATAACCACCCATTGCAGACGAAGGAGCTCGAGCTGTCTGAAGAGACGGCGTATTACTGGCACATTAAGGCCTTGATATTGTAATCGACTTAATTCCTTCTTACCCAGACTTGACACCGACTTACCCAAGTCTGCCCTGCAATTAGACTTCACACGACATTAACTACCTCTTTGCATGTACCTTAAAACAGACTCCACCCATTCACCCCTTTCCTCTGTTTCGAACTCATTTGTGGGTCCTCTCGTTAGATTACCTCGGTAACTTAGACTTATTTAAACTGGTCCTAAGCGGGGTCAGATCATTCGCCAGTAATAACATAAATTGTTGTTTTTGTTATTGTAACCGCAAAATATTCCCCGGCCAAGGGTTGTCATCCTTTCGACAACTTAACTACGTTTAGCTCACCGCGTGAAGCAGCGGATTTATCATCAAGGCTCGACTGCCTAGTCTAAGCGGATGTTGGAGTTTTCCTAATCTGGGGATCCAATTTGGAGATTCGGCATTTAGTAAAACAATAAAAGAAGACCAACTGGAAAGAACGTTTGAAGGTTTTTAATTTCTATTTTTTTTTTAAATATAAATTTTGTGGTTTGTTATTAATTATTCATAAATTTTTGATATTTAATTTTTATTAATTATAATTTATCAAAAAAAATATATATATTTATTTAAATGCAAACTTTCTTACTTATTTAAAAAAAAAATAATTCATATAATTTTTAACAGCAATTTTTTATTTTTATTTATTTTTAATAAAAATTATTTACATAAAACTTAGATCTCATAGCTTTTTTATTAAATTTTAATAATTTGATATTTAGTTTATTACATAATTTTCTATCGCTAATTGTTTTTCTGAAGAAAAATTTAATTTTGTTATTTTTATTTGTTTTTGATATTTTTTAAGAAATACTTATTTTTTATTCTTATCTTTTTTTTTTGAAAATTTTTTAAGAACTAATAATTTTTCTTCAATTTCATAAAAAAAATTTAACTAAATCTTTTCTTATTACTTAAGAACTAGTTGTTTCTTTAAAAATAAGAGTTATTTATTCTTTTTATTATTTTATATTTATTTTGTTATTTATTCTTTTTAATATTATATATATATATATATATATATTATTATTTATTTCATTTAATTCTTCTTTTTTGTTTATTATAATTTGTTACTTGTTAATAACAAGTTTTTTAAATTTAATAAACTTGTTTGTTATTTATGTTTTTAGAAATTTAATTAACATTATTTAATATTTTTTTTGTTAATAATTTATTTATATTTTTGTTTAAAACTATATGCCTTTAAATTAATTTAATGTTTCTAATTACAAATTAATTTAATTTCATAATTAAAGAAACAAATTTTTTAACTTAATTTTTTTATTCGTTTAATTATTATTTTATGTTAATAATTCTTGTAAAAATTATATATTTTTAAATTTTTTTTAAGTTCATTTTTTCTTTGATTATAATTTTTTCAAGTATAACATTTAAATTTTTTTTCTCTTAAATTTTTGTAATTTTATTCTTTTAATTATTATTTCATGTTTATAATTCTTGTAAAAGTTATATATTTTAAAATTTTTTTTTTAGTTAATTTTTTCTTTTATTATAATTTTTTCAAGTATAACAATTAGAATTTGTTCCTCTTAAATTTTTGTAATGTTTTAAGTCAAGAAATATGTAGCAAAGCAATTCTTCAAAAATTTCAAAGATGTTGAATTAATATTTTCGCTTTCACTAAACCACAAAGCTGAACACCAAGGCGAGAACGTTTTAGAAATTGTATTTTTATTTAGGTTAAGGGGAAAAATATATGTGTATGTGTTCATTCAAGTTGTTTTTTCTTTGCATTTATTTTATTTTTTTATTTGTTTGTAATTTTTATTTTTACTCTCTATTTCATATATTCTGACAATTTTTTTATATTTTATTTAATTTTTTTATATTTGATTTTATTTTTTTGTATTTTATATTATTTAATTTTTTTTTCTATTTTATTTTTTTTTTTCTTTATATTATTAATCCACATTTTATTTTATTTTTTCCCATATTTTTATTTTTCATTTTTTGTTGAAGTTGCTGAAGTACGCTGCTCTCAGTACGATTTCAAAGGATAATTATTTGAAAGCGTCAAAAGAAATTAATTGGCCTGACCTAGATAATATAACTTTTGGTAATAGAATGTGAACGGTTCCATTTACTATCAAGCAGCAATTTCGCTTAATTAGCAAAACAGAGATAAAAAGCTGTTGGAGAAAAAGTCGATAAGAAAGCAAGTGCGCTAATAGACACACAGTTCATGTGGATATGTATGTGTATATGGCATTGCTGTAAAGCAATAAATAATTAAAAAAAATCTATTAGAAGCTTTGAAAAGTTAAAGGAAATTTTTGAAGTGTTTATTAAAAATCTAAAAAATTTAGCAGAAAAATCAATGAAATGCAGAAATCGGAAGAGGTTAGTTTAGCTGAGGAGGACTCTCACGATCTTTGGAGAGCTAAGATTTTGAATTTTCTTGTTATATTGTTCATTCTTTTCTGTTTGTAAAAATAACTCCAGCAAAGCGTTACAAAAACGAAACCAGTTTTCCAAGAGTGTGAAAAAATCTCGGCTTAAATATTTAAGCACACATAAATATACGGGAATGAATGAACATTATTTAACGACTTTGAAGACCAAGCCTGCAGTTTTTATTTAAAATAACAGATTTTGCTCGTCAAACGCGCCTAAAATATTTCCAATTCGAAGATAAAAATCTGCATTTCTTGACAAAAATAATCACTCACGCTTACGGCTCGTGGAAGGAATGCGCTTATTGCCTGCAGCACGGCGAGTGTTTTATTGAGGTGTCGTAAATGTGGTTTACTTAAAATTCCATTAATATTTCAACTGACCACAGGAAATTACGAGTGAGAAATTAATCTTCAAATACACTAATACATATATTTTTTGACTAATAAAAAAAAAAAAATCACTGAAAACATTAAAAGGAAGAGAAAGGAAAAAATATTAAAAATTAAGTAAAATAAAAAAAAAATATAAAAAATTAAAAAGAAAATAAAGAAATATTAAAAAACATAAGTAAATTAAAAAATTAAAAAAAAATAAAAAAGTTAATATTTGTTAAAAAAAATTGGTATACTAAGGAAATATACCGAAAAAAAATAAGTAATAACATTATAATAATATTATTTTTATAAAAAATAAAAATAAGTAAAATATAAAATAAAAAAATATGAAATTAAAAAAAATAAAAAATTAAAAAAAGGTAATAAGAAACATTATTTTTATTTAATGTTGGTCGGATAAAGAGACGAACTCTGGACTTCCGAGTTATTCTTCTTCTTTATTGGTGTTGGCACCGCTAAAGCGATTATAACTGAATCAATCTTAGCGCACCATTCCTCTCTTATTTCGCTACCTGGCGCCAGTTGAAAACACCATGTGAAGTCAGGTCACTCTCCACCTGATCCTTCCAACGGAGTGAAGGTCTTTCTCTTCCTCTGCTTCCACCAGCTTGTAATGCGTCGAATACTTTCAAAGTTGTAGTGCTTACATCCAATCGGACGATATGACCTAGCCAGCGTAGCTGCTGACTCTTCATTCGCTGAACTATGTCAATATCATCGTACAGCTCGTACAGCTCATCGTTCCATCGTCTGCGGTATTCGCCGTTGCCAATGCGCAAAGGACCATATAACGTTTGTACAACTTTTATCTCGAAGACTCCTATAGCCGACTCAACAGATGCTGACATCGTCCACGCTTCTGCGCCATATAGTAGGACCGGTATGATGAGGGACTTGTAGAGTTTGGTTTTCGTTCGGCGAGAAAGGACTTTACATTTCAATTGCCTACTCAGTCCAAAGTAGCACCTGTTGCCAAGAGTGATTCTGCGTTATTATTAATGTTACTGCTGACCTCTAGATAGACGAAATTATCTAAGACCTCGAAGTTATGACTGTCAACAGTGACGTGAGAGCCGAGTCGCGAGTGTGATGACTGTTTATTTGATGACAGGAGATATTTCGTCTTGCCCCCATTCGCTATCAGACCCATTTGCTACGCTTCTTTATTAAGTCTGGAGAAAGCAGAACTCACGGCGCGGTTGTTGGGGCCAATAATGTCGATATCATTGGCGTATGCCAGCAGCTGTACACTCTTGTAGAAGATTATACATTCTCTATTAAGCTCTGCAGCCCGTATTATTTTCTCTAACAATAGGTTAAAAAAGTCACACGATAGAGAGTTACCTTGTCTGAAGCCTCTTTTGGCATCGAACGGCTCGGAGAGGTCCTTCCTGATTCCGACGGCTACGATTTACATTTATTCCTAAAAAAACATTAAAAAAAATAAAAAAAATAAAAATTTAAAGTAATTTAAATTGAAAAAATTAAATAAAAAATATCAAATAAAATTACCATAAAAAAATTAAAAAAATACT